TCACGACCCTGAAATCAAGAGTCTCATGCTCTATTGACTGAGCCAGCCAGGCGCCCCTTTTCTGAATGATTTTTACCTACTCTGTGAGAAGGATGTATTTTTGTCTCCTCCATCAATGTGGACACATGGTAGGTACCTATCTGGCTCCTGTATTTCGGGGAGTAAGCACCAGCTTTGCAGTCAGGCCTATCTGAAGGCACAGAACAGCTCCACTAGGTGCTGGCACCAAGCATTATGTATGCCTTTGACCTTGGTTCCCATTCCTTTCCTGCAGGTGGGTCTGGGGCCTAGTGGACTACAGTCAGTGTTTCCTGAGTGACTGACTAACCCTTATGGTAGTACACGCCAGCATTGCCCAGGAACCCGGGCACCCAAATGAGAATCCAAGACAGGCCGGCTTGACCCTCTCCTTACCCCCCATCTCATCAGTCACCCCTAAATATCTCTTGACTCTGTCAGGGGCTCCACGTCCCCAGAGCTATTTCCTCATTCAGGTCCATTCTCTGAACTAAGCCTGCAAAAGCTTTCTAAAGAGAAAAATCTGATCACCAGTCACCATTTAAAGAGTCTCTACTGCCCAAAAGAAAAACACACTTCCTTACCTCCCGACACTCAAAAAAAAAAAAAAAAAATCTAGTCGCTATTCACTTTCCCCAACACTGTGTCCCAACAGCCCCAGACTCTCTTCTGAACAAACCTCCCATTCCCTTAACTCCGTGCTTTTGTGTGCACTGTATTTTCCGCCTGTGGAATGGCCTTCTCTTCTTGCTTGAAGCTCCACTTATTCTTCACGGGTTAATGTACAGGTCACCTTCTCTGTGACAGAGGGCACTTTCTCTACTTGGCTGAGACCTCTACGGCAGCACAACTCACAACCCGACTCCTGTGTTAGCTGTCCGCCAGTCTGGCTCCCTGGGGGCAGAGCCCACGTCTGATGCAGGTCCTTGTCCTCAGAGCCCAGCACGAGGCCTGGCACTCAGTGGCGGCAGGAAAGGGCTTCCCTGTGATCACTATAAATGTATCCAGAGTACTCTGTGACAAATTTTTCAAATGCCTGATGTCATTTGATCCTTGCAACATTTTACAGATAAACAGGCTCAGTGAAGTAACTTGCCTGGGTTCATGTAACTAAAAAGTGGTGAAATCTGTGTTCGAACCCAGCCCTTGCTCTTCACCGCTGCGGAATCCTGCCTCTTGAAGGGAATCACTCTGCGGGGCGTGGGCCCCAGCCTCCCCCTCACCTTGGCGCTATACTGGTTGAGCTCTCCGCCTTCGTGGCCTGCGATGATGCACTCCCCCAGGGGTCCCCAAACAGCACTGGTGATCTTGGAGTCGTTGCAAGGGATCTTCATGTAGGGCTCATTGTTATCTGTGGGGGGGGGAGGGGAGATGGGCTCTGGAGCCGTGCCCTTCACCCCAGCCCCAGTCCCAAACCCCCAGCGCTGGCTCACCGATCTGGCTTGGATCCCGCAGGTCAAAGAAGCTCACAAAGCACTGGTAGCCCATCTGCTTGTCGGTGGAGAACATGATGATGTTGCCCCCAAAGTCAAAGCCACACGTCCGGACAGCTGAATTGGTCTTGAGTAGGGCCAGCTGCTTCCCTGGGGACAGGCAGAGTCTGGGCTACCCCTTGCCCTATGCCACCGAGGGGAGGACACTCTACATCTGCCTGTCCTCCTGTCTGCTGTGTCTCCTGCTTCAGTGACCACAGCCCGCCACCGCCTCCTCCCCACCATCTCTCCTCAGACATCCTGCTGCTACGTGAGCAGTGCGTAGCAATATATCTGTCTTCTCCTCAGAATGCCTTCCTCCCAAACAAGGATCTGCTCAAATTTCTCTGCCTGTCCCCAGAACCCAGCATCAACCTGGCACAGAATTGGGTGCCCAGTAAATATTTACTAGATGGAGCAGCTTAACAGGCTCCCGTGTCTTCGGTCTGTTCTTCCAATACTCCCCGCTGCTACCTGAGCTCGCCAAAATGAAACATACTCTTCCCTGCTCAAGGACCTCCACAGCATGCCAACTCCTACAGAACAAAGCCAAGCTCCTGAGTCTGGCATTCGAGGTCTATTCTGACCCTAGCCTGCCGCCTCTTCTCTCCTGACTATTGCATTCCCCCAAGAAGCAGGAGGTCCCATCAGGTCAGATGACTTGGACAGGACACTTGCCACGCTTTCCCTCCAGAATGTGCTAAAGTGATGACCTCTTTCTCATCCTTGAAGCCCCAGCTCTCATGACATTTACCTTGGGAAACCTTGCCGGGTTGCTCCCATCCCCACTCCAGGCAGTCAGCTGCCCCCACTCTGGCCTTCCACAATGCTCTGTGCTTTCTCTGAGGTGCCTTACAGCCTACTGCACTGCCTCTTTTCTTGTCTGTCTTCTCCTTGTCTCCTTCTCGTTCCTTAGAACAGGAACCATCTCTGGATTTATCTCTGTTTCCCCAAAACCTGTTCACCTAAACAGGTACGCTGTAGATCCTCACTGTCTGGTGAAAAAGTAAACGATCCAGGCTTACCTGTTTCACAGTCCCAGAGACGACAGCTATTATCAGCTGAGCCGGTGAGGACATGTTTGGTGTCCCCTGAAGAGGGTGTTAAGAAACATGACTGAGGGGCGCCTGGGTGGCTCAGTTGGTTAAGCAACTGCCTTTGGCTCAGGTCATGATCCTGGAGTCCCAGGATCGAGTCCCGCATTGGACTCCCTGCTCAGCGGGGAGTCTGCTTCTCCCTCTGACCTTCCCCCCTCTTATTTACTCTCTTTCTCTCAAATAAACAAAATCTTAAAAAAAAAAAAAAAGAAAGAAAGAAAGAAACATGACTGAGTTCACCTGAGCCCTCGTCCTCCTGGAAAACCAACTGAATTACCTCCCCGTTCAGCCCCAGACAGCCTTTCTTCCTCTCCTACCTCAGAGCATTCTAACCTCCTCATCTAGAACAGAACTCGTGGGCACCTGGGGGCTCAGTCATTAAGCGTCTGCCTTCGGCTCAGGTCATGATTCCAGGGTCCTGGGATCGAGCCCCGCATCGGGCTCCCTGCTCCACGGGAGGCCTGCTTCTCCCTCTCCCACTCCCCCTGCTTGTGTTCCTGCTTTCGCTATCTCTCTCTCTGTCAAATAAATAAATAAGATCTTAAAAAAAAAAAAAAAATAGAACCAGAACTCGTCTTGAATGTTCCCTCAACCAGTGAAGGGACTGGGGATTAGGTAATAGGTATCATTCCCTAGACCCACAATAGCACCCCAAACTCCCAACTCCAAGTCGGCAGCCTCTCTGTTGCTCGCAGACCCTGGGAGCACAGACTCAGAGCGAAGACAAGGATACAGTCAGCGTCTACGCACCACACAGCTCCAGTATGGCCCATGTAAGTGCCCAGCCTCTCACCGTTCACAGAGTACCACACATTGACAATCTGGAGGAGTCAATGACAGTGTGACAGATGGTAAGCATCCCAGGCAATGGCCTCCTACTTAAGAGGTTCCCCAGGAACCCTCAGCAGCCTCTAGACAGGCCAGATTTTGCCCTCTCTTGCTCATCTCTTGGGAAACAGCAGGTTGCTGGTAAAAAGACCAACTCCTGGATTTTCCTCCTTCCTGCAGGTAAGTGGCAGGGGAGTCAGGGGGCTTGCAAAAAGACCTACATGCCCTTGTCCCAGTCCTTCCCGAAACCCTCCACTACAGTGTTTCTCTTCTCTGAGCTTATTTTCCTGTCTGTAAAATGGACACAACAATAATGCCTTCTTCAAAGGGTATCTGTGAGGCTTCAATAACATGATGTCTAAGGAATTTAAAATATAAGTGACTAACAATTCTCCACTAATATGCACAACGTACTTACTGTGTAAGCTCCTTACTTGAATAATCTCATTTAACCCTGAAGACAACCCCAGGAGGGAGTTACTGTTAGTACCCATAATTTATAAAAAGGGAAACCAAGGGGCGCCTGGGTGGCTCAGTCGTTAAGCGTCTGCCTTCAGCTCAGGTCATGATCCCAGGGTCCTGGGATGGAGCCCCGCATCGGGCTCCCTGCTCAGTGGGAAGCCTGCTTCTCCCTCTCCCACTCCCCCTGCTTGTGTTCCCTCTCTCGCTATCAAATAAATAAAAAAAAAAAAAGGGAAACCAAGTTAAGAAAGGTTAAATGACATGCTCAAAGTCACACTGCTACTCGGATGCAGGGCTCAGGATTCAAATCGGGTCGGCTGGCTTCCGAACTCCCACTTTTAGCCAAGAGAGTTAACGTCTTCCATACGGAGGTGTCTCAAAAGGCAGTTAAGTGAGGGACTGTTTGCACTCAGTGAAAAGCAGGATGGGGCCCAGAAGGACCTACTGAAATGAGACCAGGGACACCTCCAGTAAAGTAGTCCTCTGTCGTCCCTCACTGTCCAAGGATCAGCTTTCCCCTTCTAGAGGTGGTCCGTTCCCCTACCCTGGAAGAATAATCGCTCTTGTCCCCATCTCCCTTCCATAATGGTCTCTTGCTCTTTTTCTCCCGGCCACTCCTCCCACCACCAACAGTGTTCTTTCCCAGTATAATGCTCTCGCCCACCTACCCCGGGATGGTCTCTCCCTACCTCTCCTAATGGGGAGGAGCTCTTTGGTTCCCTTCTCACGGCAAAAACGGCTTGTCCACCCCTCGCCCTGGCAGAATGAACTCGCCCCCTCCCGACACCTCCCCCCGCCCCAAGATCCCGCCGGCCCGCCCTCTGCCGACGCTCACAGGGTCCTTGGCCACCGTGAAGAGAAGGTCTCCCTCTCGGTTGTACTTAATCTGCGTAATGGATCGCTCATGGCCCTGCAGCAGGATCGGCTTCTGTGGGGACAGGACAGGTGTGTCAGCGCCCAGGATCGGCCCCTGCCCCAGTCCCAGACCCCCACGGTAACACCGCAACTCAGGGGAACTCACCATCCCGGCGCTGACGCGAGGAAAGAAACAACGTGAGTAGGGCCGGAAGAGGCTTTGGCGCCACTTCCGGATTATGGGTCTCCGCCCCTTCGGTCCCGGAAGTGGAGGGAGCGGCGTTGCCATGGCGGCGTCTCTTGGTGGGTAGGCGGCCCCGCCCCTCTAGGGGCTTCCCAAACCTTGCCCGGAGTTCATTTCCCGCCCCACCTCCACTACCTGACCTTCACCCCTGCCCGAACCCCAAACTCCGGGCTCTCGGACCCATCTCCCCTGCCTCCTGGGGCCTGTCCTACCCGCCAGTCGCACCCGGCGCATCGGAGAGCGAGGGAGGGTTGTGGAGGTCGCTGGCTGGGGAGGGGAGGCCCGAGGAGGGCCGGGCCGGCGGGCAGCGGTTTTTGGGGGGGGGGAGGGTCACTCGCATCTCCATCCAGGACAGGTGCTGGCCCTGGTGCTGGTGGCCGCCTTGTGGGGTGGCACACAGCCGCTGCTGAAGCGGGCCTCCTCCCGCCTGCAGCAGGTTCATGAGCGGACCTGGGCCCGGCAGTTGCTGCAGGAGATGAAGACCCTCTTCTTGAATACTGAGGTGTGTCTGTGAATGGCCCCTTTCTCGCGCATAGCTGCTAAAAATTTGGTCTCTGGAGTCAAACAAGGCTGGGTCAGAATGTGCTCCCCACCAGCTTACTCGCTAGAAGCTCTTGGACGAGTCACTTGTCCTCCTTGAGCCTCAGTTTCATCGTCTGTAAAATGGGAATGTTAATGGTAACCATCTTATTGGACAGTTGTGAGGATTCAGTGAGGTGAGGCACATAGAGCACTTAACACTGGGTCCAGTACGTAATTAGTGTTCAATCTATGGGTGCTATTAATAATATTTTATTGGTGATCCCTCCAACAGACCTTCCATGGGAGGACTTGGGGCTCAGATTGACCCTGGGGAGGGAGGATAAGGAAGGATATGGAGAACTACCTCTGACCCCAGTGCTGCCAGTCTAGGCTAGTGGGAAAGACAAGACATAGACAGAACCACCCACCTCTCAGGACTAAGGGCCACGAGAGAGGTACTGATTAAGTGCTTCCTGAGTTCACAGGAGGGAGGCTGGAGCTAGGAGCCTCTAGGAATGCTTCTTGGAGGGAGGGACATTGGCATTCAGGGACTTGCGGGATGGGGAGGATGGGAACTAGCAGGGCTGAGGGAGAAGCATTCAAGGCAGAGGCATGGAGTTCAGTCAGTAACTTGCTGCCTGCTCTGGAAGGGTCCTTTTCAGAGGGTTAACCACTCTTTGGACCATTATAGCTGTAAGGAAGCTTCCTTGTAGCTTCCTCCAAGGAAGGGCATTATCTAGAAGCTCAAAGAAGGCAGTCGAGCATCACACTGACTGCAGATTTCTTCTGTTTCCAGTACTTGATGCCCTTTTTCCTCAACCAGTGTGGCTCCCTTCTCTACTACCTCACCCTGGCATCAACAGGTGGGTCTCTGACTTAGAACTGCTATGCCCAGTGCTGGAGGCCACCTGGAAGAGTCACTTGGGGAGGGGGCCTGAAACACCCTGTTGCCATGAGTGAGGGAGAGCCCACTACCTCTGGTTCCCTCTTTGCACCCTCTTCTCTGAGCAGCTGGGGCGCAGTGGGCTTATTATGAGTATGCTGCCAGGCACTTGGGTTGGTTTGAAGCCTGGTGGTCTTGTGCAGCAGTGGAGTCAGAGGGGAGGTTCATTTTGCTGTGCCAGCGGCTGGCCTTGACACTCCTGATTCCACGGTGTGCTACCTGCCTGACCTTGAGCAAGTCTCTTATTTGAGTGTTGGTTTTATATGATGGTTTTTGTAGCATTGAGAGGATTAAATTCAGTGTATGGGAAGCATCTAGCAGAGTAGCTGGTGCACACTGCAGGAGCTCAGTAAGTATGTATTTCCTTCCTCTCCCTGATTGTTGACTGTCCTCTGCTGCATCAGATACTGTACTAGCCTGAGTGGCTCAGTCGTTAAGCGTCTGCCTTCGGCTCAGGTCATGATCCCAGGGTCCTAAGATCGAGCCCCGCATCGGGCTCCCTGCTCAGAGGGTAGCCTGCTTCTTTCTCCCTCTCCTGCTCCCCCTGCTTGTGTTCCCTCTCTCGCTGTCAAAAAAATAAATGAAGTTTAAAAAAAAAAAGATACTTTACAGCCGTACTACAAAGATATTGCAGGTTTGGTTCCGGACTACCGCAATACAACAAATGTTGCAGAGCAGATCAGATGAATTTTTTGGTTTCCTAGTGCATATAAAAGTTATGTTTAGGGGCGCCTAGCTGGCTCATTCAGTGGAGCATGCACTTTTGATCTCAGGAGGATAAGTTCGAGCGTAGCATTTGCTTAAAAATAAAATTAAAAATAAAAATAAAGGGTGATAAAAATAAAAATAAAGACTGAGCCTGGGTGGCTCAGTCAGTTAAGTGTCTGCTTTCGGCTCAGGTCATGATCCCAGGGGCCTGGAAACGAGTCCCACATCGGGCTCCGCGGGGAGCCTGATGGGCTTCACCAGCTGTTTTGTTTGTCCATTTCCGTTTAGCTCAATCCGGGCACAGGCTTTGGAGTCCGGCAGACCTTGGTTTAAGTCGTCGGTTTGCCTCAATATATGTGTCGTCTTTGAGCTTTTGTTTTCTTTACACAAAGTGATAATGCTCTTCTCTCAGTGCTGTTGTGAAGATCGAAGGAGATGTGTACACAGTTGGCACTTAATAAATGGTGGTTGTGCTGTTACATTCATTCTACTGCCTCCTTTCGGCTTTGGGGCCTATCTGTCCCGATATCTTTGCGGTCTCAGGAGCTCTTCGAGTGCAAAGACCTCATCCTTATCTGCAAACCAGGGTGGTCCCAGACCACCTTATAGTTCGGGTCTTTGTGCTGGAGTGGAGGGAGCACTGAATTTAGAGTCGGGAAACCTGGTTTGAATCCTGAGCTTTGCTGTGATTTCATCGGGAAAATGAGATACCTTTTTTTTAAGATTTTATTTATTTATTTGACAGAGAGAGAGAGAGAGAGAGCACAAGTAGGCAGACAGGCAGACAGAGAGAGAGGGAGAAGCAGGGAGCACAGAGCCCGATGTGGGGCTCCATCCCAGGACCCTGGGATCATGACCTGAGCCAAAGACAGGAACCTCACCGACTGAGCCACCCAGGTGCCCCCCCCCTTTTAACAGGCTGTCTTGATAAAACGTGTTTTGTGCCTAGAAAGGCATTTTTTGGCATCTCAGAGATTTTTTTTTCATTCTGATCACTCAGATCTGACCCTAGCTGTGCCCATCAGTAACTCTCTGGCCATCATCTTCACACTGATTGTCGGGAAGGTCCTCGGAGAAGATGTAGGTGGAAAAGGTAAGTCAGGCCACTGCAAGTGTGGGAAGCCACTCCTTGGGCCTCGCCACCCCGGTTAGTCCTTTCCCAGAGCTAGCTCCACGGGTGGGGAGGAGAGGATCTTTCCCCATCCCTCCCCTTTCCTCAGCAGCTCTCCTGCTTCCTTATGGCCATCAGAGTTTCCTTCCCCTGGGCATTCTGGGGACAGACCCCATCTGCACTGGTCCCTCAGCCCTGCACCAGCTCCTCCTAGCTTGGCTGGGCTCAGCCCCTCAATTTCTGCCCGTTCTCCCAGGAGCATTCACAGGCATGATGCTCACCGTGGTGGGGATTGCACTCTGCGTCATGAGCTCCGTCAGCAAGACCCAGGGGCAGCTGTCTGCCCTTTGAGTGGGCCGACGCCACCCTCCAGCCCTTCTGTGTCCAGGAAGCCCCTGAGCCGTGAGGCGCAGCCAGTGAGCAGACGGACCTAGCACTTCCCCCTCTGAGCCTCAGCGCCCTCACCTCTTAGGGGGTGAATAGCTACCTCGTGGTGGCTCTCACAGGAGAACTGCAGTGAGAGATCTGTTCAGCTGCTCAGATTTAGCACAAGAGACTTCATACCTCCCCAGCAACCTTTCTGCCCTGCAGCTCTCCTCGTGCTGTCATGTCAGGCCCCTAGCCCAGCCGCCGTCACTATGGCCCCATCCAGACTGTCACAGCAGCTGGGTCCACGGACGGCATGGAGACAGCCAGCCGCCTGTGCCAGAGATGCAAACAGGAGGCCTCAGGGCTGCCAGAGGCCTTGGCTGGCTGAGGCAGGGACCTGAGGGGAAGAAGGGACGTCGGAATGGCAGGTGTAGAGGAGATGAGCAGTCTAGGAGCCTTGCCTGGCCCACCTAGAAGGTGGGTGGAAATCTTCAACTGCCTGCCCTTCTTAGACAGCCTGGGGCCCCGGCACCGCATCCCTTCCGCCACGTGGTGCGGTGCCCGGCGAGGGGTAGCCTCAAATAAATCTGCACCGAACAGACGGAGGACAGTTAAGTATTCTTTTATTGCAACACACCTGCTCCCAAGTTTGTAGCCTCCCCCCAAGCTCGGTTGGCTCCTCCTGTCTCTGACCAGAGAACCCCATAGGAACATGGTCTCCATGGCTAGGGCTGCCCGGCTCAGAAGGAAAAGAAGACTGGGCTGTGGGTTTAGGAGCAGAAGAGTGGGGCTGGGCTGAAGGGGGCTACAGGGTATCCTGTGAGCCCAGGGGCAGCGCTGGGTCCCCTGGAACAGGCTGTTGGAGACAAGGATAAAAGGTGGCTGCAGAGTGGCCGCCCCAGGTCCTAGCAGGACAGCGGCTCTCAAGGTGGCAGAAACGGGGTTGAGGCTGAGACCGCTGCCCCAGCCCCAGGCTGCTTTTCCAGGCACAGGGCCTCGCCCACCATCTGCGCTGCCCTCTGGAGGAGGCGGAAGGCCATACAGAACGGAGCATTAGCGTCCCTTGTCGCCTCCAGCCCTCAGCTGAAGTTTCTCACCCCAGGAAAGGAAGAGACTTCACAGGTTTGGCTCTGCCCTCTCATTTAACAAGGTAGGAGGTCGGGCTTGGAGAGTTAGATCTGCTCACAGTCCCAAGGCGGGGGCTCTCCCGGGACCCCAGGCTGCCATTCCAGCTCAGAGCTCCTGAACCAACATACTGCTTGCAGCCCCCACCCACCTGATCCAAGGGTTCCTCCGTGCAGGTGTCTTCATCACCTGCCACTTCCTGGGCCCCTGCTGTCTCCTTCCTCGGGTGGAGAGCCTCGTACACTCCCTTGACTCCTGACGAAGGAGGCGGTGTCGGCGGATGCCTGTGCTGAGGAGCCCTGAGCCTTTTCCTTGCCCCTCCCTCCACAGTCCCCACTACCTTGGAGGCTGGCAGGGTAGCTCTGAGGCGGGCCATTGGCCCCCATCCCTTCCAGATCCCACCCCTGAAGTTTCCCTGTGCCTCATTTCATAGTGCCAGCTCCCCACAAAGAAGCCAGGGCCTGCATGTGCACATGGGGCAGCAGTAAAGATCTGTGTTGAGGTCAGGGCCAGCTCTGTCCCCGGGCATTCTGCCCCCATGGACCTCTCCCACAACAGGGGCCATTCTGTGTCACTGTCAGAGGGTGGGTGAGAAGGGCCTAGGGTCCCCTCACCTGAGGGAAATGAGAGCGTGGGGAGCCTGTTGCTCGGCTGAATGGCCTGCTGGGGTCTGGCATAGAAAGCAGATGGCTCAATGTGGCTTGGTTCCTTTGGAGAGGGCTGGGGTGCCTGTGCCCTGTGTCCCTGGGCCTGTAGAGGGCATACTGGGCTTGGACTGGGGGTAATGGTTGTTCTTGCCTTCTCTCCCGCCAGGCCAAGCTTAAATGCCCCTGGTGCCTGTGGGAGCTGGGGAGAGATGCCCTCCTTCTTCATAGCCTGCATCCTCCCTCCTGGCTCCTTCTTCCCATCAGGCTGCCTTATCCAGGGACAGAGCCGCTGGTGCCCGGCACTCAAGAGGCCCACTGAAGCCAGGCCGTGTCCTCCGACCCCCACCCAGTGCTCACTGGCTCATCTCTTGGGAAGGCTCAGGCCTGGGATCAGCTGGGGCGCTGGACCCCGCTACGCCAGAGAGGCCAGTTCTCTCTCCCAGTGGCTGCCCGGGCAGCAGAGTCCACAGGTGTTCGTCGAGCCAGGCTGAGCTGTCTCTAGCTTCTGGTCTGGCCCTTGCCACTCAAGACCTGTGTCCCCCTGAGCAGCTGACTTCACTCTGGGGAACCTGAATGCCTCCTCTGGGAAATGGGAGTGGTAACCTGTGTTCCACAAGAGGATGCAGTGCTATGTGGAGAGAGCCTGAGCTGGAGGAGAGGTCAGCCAGTCACCCCCCTCCTTGTCTGCCTCCCATGGCCTCCCCTGTCACCTACCCGTGGCTTGTGTGGCTTAGACTTTGGGTCTGGGGGGTGCCTGCAATGAAAACAGGGTTTATAGTAAGTAGGCAGAGCAGGCATGGGACCAGGGTCGTTTCCTCTGCTTTACCCTGCCGCCCCGCCATACCGCTGCCTGACCCGTCCGTACCAGCAGCCCCTGGGCAGTGAGGGGCTAGGCACCAGCAGCTCCACATAAGGCAGGGCCTGGAACTCCTCCTCTCCGACCGCCACATAATAATGGCCGTTCACCAGAGCCTCTCTTGCTGACAGTGGGAGCCCCTCCAGGCTGCAGAGTCTGGGAGAGAGAGGTAGGTGGGTAAAGGCCAGTGGACAAGATGCCTCTTCATACTCGGCAGACTATGACGGGGTGGGTGCGGCTATTCCAAGGTACGCGTTGGCCGCTGACCCTCCGAGCACCCGGGCCAGTCACCTCGGCTCTGCCCTAGCTCCAGGGGCTCAGCTGTGGGGGCCTCTCCCTGTGTCGTAGAAGGAAGTCCCATTTGGGGAGACGTGCTTTCCTTTCACCTTGTTGTCTGCAAGGACAGCCAGGACCGGCAGGGAGGCTCCCTCCCTGGGGCCCACACTCACTTGCACACAGCCCCGGCCTGCAGTTTGGCCTTCTCAGTCAGGAGCTTCAACACGGTTTCCCAGTCCTCGCTGGCAGCCTGGGACAGCTTCAGGCTAAATGGGGGACTTACCAGGTCCCCATTCCTGAACACACTGGGACAAAGAGCAGTCTGGTAAGGAGTGGGGTCCCCGGAACGCCCCACACGTGAGAGGAAGAAGGGCAGCACAGGGCCGGAAGATGGTCTTATGAACCGGGGCATTGGTCTGTTTTCACCCATCAGGCATGTTGGGACCAGGGGCTCTGGGAGCAAACCCACCCACATTTTCTTGGTCTCACTGAAACAAAATCTATGCTCCTGCTCCCCGACACCGGCACTCACTGGATGTAGCAGGAGGAACCTGCAGGTGGTCGCGGTCCACGGGTCCCGTCACCTGGGTGGTGAGTCACAGGAGGACCCTGAAACCCAAGGCAGGCCCTCAGATCGGGAGAGAGTTGAAGCCTTTGGCTAGGGGTGGGTCAGTCCAAGGTGGGTAGGGTGAGTGAAGGAGAGGGCAAGGAGGGATGGGATGGGTCACACCTTTCACCAAAGGAACATTCTACCTCCCCGTAGTCACGTTCCAACCACTACCTTGCCCCCGTATGTTTTACAGCTTTCTCTTTCCGTTGGGGACCACAACCTGGCGATAAAGGCTGGGCAAGGAGCAAGGGATAGTCTTGAAACCCTGTACCCCGGGAAGGGTAGCAGCTGGCTCCAGAGTGGATGTGGAGAGTAGCCCCCAGGGACCTGACAGATCCTGTTATTTCCAGAGCCCCTGATTTCCCAGATGAAACTGGGGGCAATCCCAGTAGGGGTGAGAAGACAGGGCTGGAGGCCAGCCTCCCCCAGGACTCACTGGTAGTCTGCTGCCCTTCCCACCTGGATCCTTCCGTCTGGGGGATAAATAGCTGAAAGGACAGATGGGTCACAGTTCATCTTGGGGAGCCTGAGACCTCAACACCCTGGTAGCTGCCAGAGTGAGGGTCTAGGGCTACAGCTTACCAGGTATCCATCCCCACCGGGAGAGTCTCAAGACATCTGTCCAGAAACAGATGCTGGCCCTTGAACCTGCCCTGGGGCCCAGCGTCAGGCTGACCATCTGGACTGGGGGCTCAGACGCAAACTGTTAAGGTTAAAGCTCAAGAGAAACTAGTTCGTTAAGCATCATCCTCTAGCTCAGAAATTTTCTCATTCACGAGCTTTCATCTCATTTTCTGTAACAGAGAAAGTTACGTGACCTACAGTAACACGGAAGTAAGTGACAGCCCAGATTCTAAGTCTGTGTGGCTTTCCACCCCTTGCTCCTTACGCTACCATAAGCAACCCCAGGGGACAACTGAGTAGCACCTAGAAGCCAGATCTGAGTTGGGAGCTCAGATACTCAAAATTCTTCTCCCATCTTGGAAGGCATGGCCCCACCCTGCAAATGGGGATGGCCCCAGCCCATGGAGAGCACAGGATGCCTAATCACAGCAGGAAGGAAGCGATGGATGGATTTAGCATTTGGTGATGGTGGTGGTAGAGGATCCAATCAAGGAGAACCTTTGGAAAAAGGGGCTCCAGCTGCAGAACGTTCTCCTCGAAGCCTGGTCCTGACTGTGATGGGCATAAACATCAGTGTCATACTTGGCCTACAGCTGTGCCTTCGCTGTCTGTAACTTGTGTACTCTGAGGCAGGTTACTCAGCCTGTCTTGATTACCCATTCTAAAGAGCGGGGAGAAGACCGCCCCCAAGTCGGGCTGCTGTATTCCAGGAGAGAACACACACGGTGCCTGCACATGCACAGGAAGCCCTGAACACGAATACTATTGCTCTTGCCGTTCCCTCCCTCCCACGGCTCTAACCAGCCCCGGCCCACTCACTGTAGCTTGCGGAATCTTTCGAAGCCAGCAGCCACATACTGCCCTCCATTCTGCAAGTCGGCCAGATCCGTGACAGGGTGGCCACCATGAGGCGTATAGAGGGCCCGCACAGCCACCGGGGCCTGCAGAGTCAAGGTCACCTCACGGAGGAAGGTCTCCAGGGTGGGAAAGCGGCGTTGGCTCACCACCAGCTGGCGGCCTGGGGAGAAGGGGTCCCCGTTCCGGTATACCACCACCCTCTTGGCTGCTGGATTGCCACCACCGGCCATGGTGTGTCCTCAGCGAGAGACGCAGAGCCGTTGCCAGGCAACTAAGGCAGGCTGGGAGCAGGGCCAGTCAGAAGTGGAGTCCTGCCCCTTCACCACGGAAAGCGGGAGAGACTGCAGGGCCTTCAGGGTCTCATCCGGCCGGCCCTTGGTGGGGCCTCCCGAGAGCTGGGCGGGTCTGATCACTATACTGGAAGGAAGACCCTGGGAGAGAGGCAGTGGTGGGGAACACACCGAAGCACAGATGTTCTAATACTGGATAGAGGGAAGAATCCGCAGAAGCTCCTTGCCACTCTGCAGCCCAAGGGCTGAGCTCAAAAGAGGATCAGCTTTGGGGACTGCTCCCAAGGAGGGCCCATCTGCTCCTGGACTGTGGCTCCCAGCCAGCCCTGGGGAAGGTGCCCCATGCCAGCAGGAAAGGAACAGGAGGGCCCAGTGTCTATCCTGGACAGAGGCAGAAGATGAATGCAACTGGGTGCAGAATCCATGAGAAATCTTTATTCTCCATTAGGCTCCCCATGTTACTTACCCCAGGAAACTCCCTATCCCCAAATCTGGATTAAACCACAGGCAGAGGATGAAAGTATGTCCTTCTCCCTCCGCTCCTACTGGTGCCAGCTATTTGCTCCAGCTTCTCTTGGCCCCATTAGCCACCAACAGCCAAGGGCAGAAGGAAGAGCCGGTACCAGGGAGCAAGGATGAGGCCTGCCTCCCTAATCACCCTTTCATAGCACCCCGCTTTGGAACCTGGTCTTCCCCTGGTTCCCCAGGGCCTAGCCTGGTGGTCCTGTTTTCCATGGCCTGTCCCTCCAGTGGTCCTCTCCCATGTGGGCTGACCCTGTCAAAGACAGTTTCTCAGATGGCCTTGATCGCCATGGTACAGTCCTCTGGTTTTTCCCTTCCTCATGGCTAGGTTCATTGGAGGTTCTATCCCTGGAGCTTTTCTCACTAGAGAGCTGGCCCTTAGCTGGTTTAGTCTTCCAGATACCCTGGCCACCATGCTCTGCCGAGGTCTCATCCCAGATGCCACAGTCCTCTGAGAGGTCTAACTTCCGTGGCCTAGCTCTTTGGCCATCAGGGTCTCTGTGTTCTGGCCTCCTGGGAGACTTGTCCTCAATATCTGGGACTTCACAGTGTGGGCATCCGGGTCCTGGCCTTTTCGGAACAGGAGCCCCTAGGTTTGAGGCCTTTGGGGGTGTGGTCGTGCAGGACGGTCATTAGCTGTGGGCAGGTCTGTCCAAATGTCTGTTCCCCATGGTCTGGCTCTTCGGTGAGCCTGCCCTCTAAGGCCTGGTTATCTGATGGTGTGGGCAGCTGTGGCCCAGCCCTCCTGTAGCATGGGTCCCTGTACTTGACCCCAGCAGTGGTTTTGTCTGTAGTGGCCAGTCTTTCCAGGGACTTGCGGGGTGGTGATTTGAGCCTCCAGCAGTCATCCACGTGGTCTGGCTCCCTAGCAGTCCTGTCTCGGTAGGACTGGTTTTTCAGTGGTGGGCTTGTTTGTGACCCAGCCCTCTCATAGGTCTGTGCCCTGCGGTCTGGGCACACGCTGGGCTTGTCTCTAGGCTGGCTGGCCTCTGGGGATGTCAGTGTTTGTTTGAGAATTAGGTACTGTTGGGAAAGAGAACAGACACTGTACCAGGCAGGACTGCTTGAGCACAGAACAGGAGGCTTTTCCCTAACCCCACCCTTGGCCCTAAATGTGCAGGCAGGGCTCCAAGGGAGTGCCTACCTCCTTACGGCTATTGATGGCCTGTTGTAGCCACAGTAGTTCCATGGCCAAGTGGTTGTGGTGGTACTGGAGCTCCTGGAGCTCAGTCTGGCTGCGGGGCAGTCCTAGACCCGCAGCTTCTGCGAAGGAGGGAAGAACAAAGGGAGAAGGCTTTAGGGGTACACACTGGCTACTGGCTACCCTTAAGCCCTGGCACCCTCCCCCTGCCCACCCCCGAGTTGCCTTTAACGAGGCACTGGGAAGAAAGAGAGGGATGCAGCTCATGGAGCACAAGCCTTTCTACTTTTCAGATGGGAAAGCTGAGGCCCAGAGCAGGTCAGGGGCTTGCCCTGAATTGAGGCACAGAGGTACCTGGGTTTTCCATCCTTGATGTACCTCTGGTCTCCCCTTGGCTGGGATTCCTGGCTTTCCTGCTGTGCTCATCCCGAAGCCAGGGGCTGTCACCTCCGCAGAGAAGACTTCCTGAGTTTGCGGAGCTCTCTCCTGACTTCTTCAGCATCACCTTCCCCAAGACAGCTTCTCTCTCAGGTTCTTTACATGAGAAGCTGCTCCGCAGTTCCTGCTCTGGATTTGGTGCCCTCCCTTGGGGTTTCCGGGTCCGATGGGATTTTGCCTTCTGAGAAATCAGAAGTATGAGAACCTCACAGCTAAACCCTCCAAATATCTGGGTGCCAAGATTTAGCATACAAGGTGGTAAGGATTAAGGATTGGCATGTGAGGAGTGCAGTCTCTTCCATCGAGAAAAGCCTGTCAACAGGAAGGGTGGATTCTACCATTTCCTTGAATCCCCTCTCCAGGTCCCTCCTACCCCTCCCTTCTTCCACTGGGGTGTATACTACCGCTGGGAGAAACTGGGGCCTGGGAATCCAGCCCTCTGTCCACTGAAGCGTGCCCAGATCACCCTCGATTTCTCGTACAATAGCTTCATACTCAGCTCGCAGACTCTGGAAGTGGCGTCGGACCAAGAAGCCCCGGACGCAGGCCTGGCGTGGAGAATAAGGGGGAAAGAAAATGCTTATCACTGCACAAGTGGGGGCATTTGGGGGGTTTTCCTGGAGAGGTCGTCCCAGGGACAAAGAGGGGCTCTGGCCGCGGGAAAAGGCTGGGTGACGCTGTACGTCAGGACAGCCTCCGGGGGTTCAAGGGAGGATGCCGGACTGGATCCCCCTCTTGAATTTAAGGCCCTTCCCACCACTTCCTGGGTCCCGCAGGAGCGTGTGTGGTGGGAGTGGAAGGCCGGTCAGGGTCCGTGGTCCCAGCATTCTTCAGGGCGGTGGGGGTGGGACGGTAATTCCAGAGGCGGGCACGAGGGTAGGTGACTGAACGTGGTACCCTCATCTCGTTCGAAGGTCCCAATCCGAGATCCCGTGGTGGGAATCGTGCGCCCCCCGCCCGCTCCGCACCTGCAGCACCGACACCCTCCGAAGCAACCGCTCCCGCTCCATCCCGGCGCCAACAGACCCGCGGCCGGCTGGGCTCCTGCCAGTTGCGTCACTAGTCTGCGCCGCGCGCAAGGCCCCGCCCTGCCGTCTCCAAGGCAACCCTGCTCCTCCGCGGCCGCGGCCAGCCTCGGGGGGCCGGTTCCCAATACCCACTTCCAGACCCACCCCCCACCCCCAACCCCCGCCACACCGAGCGGGACCGCCCAAACCACGGTGTGTCGCAGAGGGGTGTCTCTGCGGAGGCCGGGTTCTGGGGGCCTTCGCCGAGTGAAGGCGCAAGGAGGGAAGGAAGCAGACGGAGCCGGTGTCTTTCTTTTTTTCTGGTTTAATGCCATCCAGTGCCCCCCTCCCCCGTAGCACCTGGGGAGCCGCGGAATACCCGATCGAGTCCATAAAAGGTCACAGTTTGAAGGGAATGAGAGGGGCAGTCTGGGCCTGGGTCCGACACCTACACAGCTGACTGCTCCTCAGGCTCGGCGTTCTCGGCCAGGTGCAACTTCTGTCTGTGCCAGTCAAGGATTGCGATGCTTTGGACCCCAGTCTTCCCAGCCCTGTCTGTCCATCCTGCACAGGCTTAGTTTCCCCAACTGCACAAAGAGGCGGGGTCGGAGGACTCGGGTGATCCGTGGTCCAGGTTGCAGCCCACACCCGCCCTTCTTGCTATAGGTAGCTTACTCCCTTCTCGTTTGGTCTAGATCTTGCGGGTACGTGCACCCGCACTGTTTCTGGCTGAGACTAGATGGGGAGATAACCTAAATCAGTGAAAATAATTATTCAATGTTGAAAGAGTAGGAAGACATCAGACAAGCTTTGCCATGGATTGGTGTCAGCTAAAGTACTTGCAAAGATTTTCTTTCTTTTAAAGATTTTATTTTGGGGCCGCCTGGGTGGCTCAGTCAGTGAAGTGTGCGACTCTTGATTTTCGCTCAGGTCATGATCTCGGGGTTGTGAGATCGAGCCCCGCAGGGGAATTCTCTCCCTCTCCCTCTGCCCACCCCCTCTCCCTCTCTTAAAAGAAAAAAAAGATTTTATTTTTTTCACTAGTGTAACTTAAAAGGTTTTAATTTTTTTTAAAGATTTTATTTATTTATTTGACAGAGACACAGCGAGAGAGGGAACACAAGCAGGGGGAGTGGGAGAGGGAGAAGCAGGCTTCCGGCTGAGCAGGGAGCCCGATGCGGGGCTCGATCCCAGGACCCCAGGATCATGGCCTGAGCCGAAGGCAGCCGCTTAACAACTGAGCCACCCAGGCACCCCAAAAGGTTTTATTTTTAAGTAATCTCTATACCCAACATGGGGATCGAATTCACAACCCTAGAGATCAAGAGTCCCAAGCTCTACCAACTGAGCCAGCCAGGGGCCTCACTTGCAAGGATCTTCCTAAGTAGATAAATCACATTCCCTGTAACTCTCTTTCTCCTGATATTTGGGACAATTCTGCCTGGGGGGCAGTTTGTGACTAATTCTGCTCCAGTAGGACAGAAAGGGGAGACGTTGGTTATATTGTAAATACTCCTAGAGGGTGATGGGGAGAAAAAAACTGATTTTGTCTGTGGGAGGTGTGGACACACACACACACACCAGCAGGGTCCCCTGGAAAGGATACATAGAATTACTAAGATCTTCCAGCTGTCAACAGAGAGAAAAGGAGGTTCCTGTCAGGAGAGGCACCAGGCCCAGCCCCAGATGCTCTGCAAGCCATCTTCTGGTAGGGGTTGGGGCTCCATGCACCCCCAGCTTTTCACCCAGGGGCCGGAAACAGCTTTGGGATCATGTACCTCCCCCAGCCCCCAGTGGCCCTGGGAACAGAAGCACCCACATTGCTGAGCAGCTGGTCCAGGTTTCGGTCAGCCATCGTCTTCTTCTGCTCCTCGGGCAGCCCCTCGGTGACCGCGTCCTCCTCCTCCTCCTCCTCCTCCTCGCCGCACACGTCCAGGCTGAAGTGCAGCCGGGCCAGCTTCTCCTGCATCTCCCGCACGTGCTCCAACTGCTCAAAGGAGCATTCCTTCCCTGGACAAGACCCGTCTGAGCCCCGGGAGCACCTTGGGACCCTGGCCCCAGCCACGGCCCAGAGACCAGGCCCTCGAGCCCCACCCACATACCCCTCTCAGGCAGCCCCTGGTGGGAACTCACCAAAGGCCTGCAGCCGGCCCGAGTGGAAATCATTGAGCAGGTTCAGCAGTCCCCCCTCCATCTCATAGACGTCCGTCACCTCGGTCAGAAAGGAGTGCTGCAGGGGCGTGCCTGCAGAGCCGCCCCCGCTTCCGGCCAGCGCCGGGCGGCATTTCTCCTTGCCTACCCTGGGTGGGGTGGGCATGACCATGGTCACAGGGTGGGGGCGGCCAGGTACCCGGAGGTTTTTTTATGCCCTCTGTCTATGCGCTAATTCATCTTCCTATCTACTCCTGAACAGAAACGGATGTTTGCTCTTGCAGCCCTGCCCCGGGGCACCAGGACTGGGAAGGGAAGGGAGTGGGTGAGCAGGGAGGGGTAGGGAGAAGAAGTCAAAGGAAGTCTTTTTTCTTCAGATGACGCTCCTAGCCAGAACCGGGCCTGGAGGGGAGCTTTTGGGTTCCTGTCCGAGCCCTGCGCTCATTCCTCCCACGGCCCTGGGGGAATCGCTTGTTCTCCCTGGGGACAGTTACTCCTTATTGTCACGACAGCCATCTTAACCTCTCCCAAAAATGTCTTTCTGCTCCTCTCCTATTTCAAAACCGTTTTGAATTTTCCATTGTCCCCAGGATAACACTGAAGGACCCTTCTCAGCCTGCCCCCCCTTTCCTGTTGCATTGCCTACTGTTCTTGCTCCAGCCCTGAGCTTCAGTGACACCCCACTGTGGCCGTCCCCAGGCAGATCTCTCAGGCAGGTAGTGTGCAAAGCCACAGGGGGGCACAGTCACGGGAGAAAGAACACCTTGTGTTTCGTGGGAAACAAACATGGAGACATTGTATGGTAGGATACAAATCCCCAATTATTAAGAAAAATTAAGCAAAAATTCATATTGTACATCTGAGTCTCCCCTTACCATCTCCTGCTCCATGACACTTGAGGGCCACCAACCACCTGTGGTTGCTGTGGAACCACCCAGGTTCTGGGAACCTCCCAAGCAATATTTTTCTTCCATACTTATGTCAGGCAAGTCCCTCAGCTTAGACATTCTCTCTCTCTCTCTCTGTCTCCAGTGTGCCCTACAGCCTCTCTTTCTGGCAGCTTCGCTCACTCCCTGCTCTGAGGTGCATCAGCATGGTGTGAGATCCCAGTCACCCATCTAGCCTTTCCCCTGCACCTGAGGGCACAGGCTGGGGCTGAGGCATCTCTGAGTTCTCTCTCAGTCCCAGGGAAGGCATTAACTGTTGCTAAGGCTAAGGCTTAAGCTAAGGCTGTCTTTACCTTCCTTCCCACAGGGCTCAGCCCAGAATTGGGGTGGGGTCCCTCCCTCCTTGCCCTGCTTTCCTTCTGTACCCACCTCTTGAACTTGGCCCGCTGCTTGGGGGACGGCAGATGAGGGAGTCCCAGGGCCAAGGAACCGCTGTGGCTGGTGGGCACAGGGACCCTTCGTAGTGCTCCCGGGGCCTGGGCTGGCTGGGTCAGGCAGGGCTTGGGACTCCTTTTCTTCTTCTTGTCCTCCATTGGATGCCGGCTGGGCCTCAGGTCCCACTGAGATAGTGAGAGGCAAAGCCATCACTTCACCCAGCCACCCCTGAGAGCTGCACAGGAAGGGCCCTGGGACCTTCCCCCTGTCCCCTCATAACTGCCAGGGCCTCGGTCCCCTCCTCTGTCCAGGACGGGCAGGCCCAGATTCCGGCGCCCTCCCGCTGGGGTCTTGGATGTGTATTTGAAGGACCTTCCAGGGCCTACCCAAGGCACCCCCCACCCTCCAGCCCTGGCCTGAAAACCTGGCCGCTGCCTGGAAGGGCTGGACCAGACACTGTTGTCCTGCTGCTGCTGGGGTTTCCTGTCAGGAAGCTGGCAGAGGAAACGGAGGGGGAGGCAGCGAGGCTGTGAGCCAGCAGGAGGCCAGCAGACGGTTAGGGGTGTCTTAACCAGGTCCTCTTGTATTTATTTAATCAGCTGTCCGGGCAGCTGCTGACAAACTTTGTCGGCAAGGGAGGTGACCAAGGTGTGGATGGGGGAGCCTGGGAAGACCTCGGTGTCAGGCAGGCACCCCCAGAGGATGGGTGAGGGCACTCACTGTGGGATCCCCCGCCCACTCGGACACTGGCATCCCTCCTCTTCCGCCCATCCCCAACCCGAAACATTAGGCAACTCCCAGAAGTTCTCTGGGACGGGCTCCCTGCCGCGGCGGCCAGGGTGGGGTGGGTGGTCGGGCAGCTGGCAGTCTCGGCCTCCAACAATGGCTGGCCTGTGGCTGGCACTGCTCAGCCTCCGGTCCAGCTCCACCCCCTAAGCCTCAGGTTGGCCGCGGTCCTCCCGGAGGAGGCCCGGGGGCTCTTTCCAGGGGCTCTCCCAAGCTGCTCGCTCCAGGCGAGCCGACTCTGGGATGGTGGCGCCACTGGGGGCATCAGCATTGAAATTGGCACCTGGCTGGCCAGCCCCAGGGGGGTGTGGTGGAGGGGAGACCGGAGCACGTCCTCCATCTGGCGTTGCAGCAGCTTGGCCCAATTAAGGACTTGATAGAAGAATTGGAGCAGGAGCCCCTGCTCCCCAGGAATGGCTGGGGGCCACCTGGGATCTATTTCCCATGCTGAGTCTTCAAAGCCATGTGCCAAAAGGATCGCTCAGCTGGGGAGCCAGGATCCAAAATGGAGCGTCAGGCCCAAGACATTCTGCACCCCCTCACACACACCCTGGAAGGGGGCAACTGACCTGGAGGTGTGGCGTCGGGAGTGAGGCTTCTGGGCCGTTCCCTCCGCGATCGGCGCTCTCCTCCTAGGGAGCCGAGCGGGTGGAAGTGGAGCTGGGAGGAGGTAATTTGCATTTAAAGAGAAAGTGACCTTCTTTAGCGGTTGGGATGTGTAAGATGGGAGGAGCCTACAACAGTTACTAGGTTGTCCCTCTCACTTGACTTTACCTCCCCAGCTGAGCTAAGGTGACTAACGTTGGTTGTGTGCTGGCAATCTAAAAAACTCACTTTCCCCTCAGTTTGGGGAGAAGCTATAGTCCCTTACAAAATGGTGGTGGCTTTGTCAGAAGGCCAGGGTGGGGCGATAGGGATGGGGGGCAGAAAATGTACATAAGCATGTAAGATATATATAAGCATACAAGATATATATACATAAGCCTGTAAGAAGCAGCAGCAGGAAGAAACTGCAAGAGAAGATAACCACCTATTGAGTCTGGGTCCCCTGTTAAGCACTTTACGTACATTTAATCCTCATAACAATCCCGCAGGAAGATACTGTCATCATCCCATTTGCCGAAAGTAAACTATAGTCTTTTGAGGGTAACACTACTCACCCCACGATACCCAGACACTTCTCACTGGTAAGCAGTGGGGGCTATATTCAGCGCCGAATGAAGTGATGGGACCAAGCCTCCTCCCTCCCCACCCCCAGGTCTAAGAGACACGTGTGGGGAGCATCAGGTCAGAGGGAAATCGGTGTGATTACCTGGCACTTGACCCCAACCCCCAGGAGGCTGACCCAGCGCTGCCCGTGCTGCCTGGGAGGCCAGATCAATGGGGCAGCTATTTAAAGACCTGGCAGAGGCTCCCAGCTCAGGTCCCCAGAGAACCATCTGATGCAACAGGAGACAGGCTTATCCTTGGCCCGGTTGCCCTGCGGTCCCAAATAACTGCCCCAGGGCAATGTGCACAGCACCCCGGTCCCCTTTCCCCTCCCATGGGCAGGAGCAGCTTCCTGGCACCCAGGCCTCCGGATAAGTTAGGGAGGGATGGGTTCTGTTTCCACAGGCACCCACGCAGGGACCTTTCCCAGGTGCTTCTAACACCTAGACTGTTTCAGAAGGGGAGACATTAATTCAGGACTTTTTCAATAACCAGAGGCTGGAGGGAGGGGTCTGCAAAGGCAGAGAGAACAAGGGGTAAGCTGCTCTTCTCCAGCTGCTAGAGGGGCACCAGGGCTCCTCCAGGAAAGTGGTGGCAGGTGCAGGAGCACCCCCTAGGGTGAAGCTATCCTCAGAGATGCGTGGCATGGGAGCTTCAAGAGTTGGGGCGGCCTCCCTGGACTCCTTCCAAACATTTTTGACTGTGGCCAGCCCAGAAAGTATCAACCTGTTCGGACTCTGATCAGAAGGGGCAGAGGCTCCGAGGGGACAGTCACAGCCAGTGTGAACACAACTGCTTGTGGAGGCCTGGAGGGAAGGGCCCTTTACTTGTCTCTGCTGTTTGTTGGGCATTCACATACCATCCTTTGTGCCAGGCCAACCCAGGCTCCAGAGAGAATACGGTGCTGGTACAGGAGCCCCAACTTTTGCACCTAGCTTGGCAGGGTGAGCAGGAATGTGTAAAAACCCAGCCCATTCTTCAGAACTGCATGCAGAATGTGGTCTTTTCAAGGAAGGTACAAAATCAAAGGAATTCACAGGTAGGCCAATGCCAAAGGATGCTGCCCATGGCAGACAGCCCTGAACAGCAGTGATGACAGTGTCCAGCCACCTGATTTTGGGCCTCAATTGGCCTATGCCTACATCTCTGGTCTCCTTACCTTATGCCTTCCTCATGGATCTTCCCAATGTCCTGTTTAAACACCTTCAGTGGTTCCTCCTGTCCTCTGGATCTAGCCCAGATTCCTTAACCTGTCCACACAGACCCCTGGTGACCTGCCACTACCCTCCTGTGCACCTGCATTTCTAGATGAACTACTTCACTACTTAAATCAAGTTGTCAGACTTCTACCTGTCCTTTGGGTCATAAGGCCCTTCCAGGTGTCCACCTCTAGCTCTTTGCTGAAGGGGACAGGGGCTTCCTTTATGGTTCCACAGCACCACCACCGTTTCTTCACCTAAAAGTTATCTTTCGGGGGGCGCCTGGGGGGCTCAGATGGTTAAGCGTCTGCCTACGATGGCTCAGGTTGTGATCTCCCAGTCCTGGGATCGAGTCCCATCTTGGCCTCCCAGCTCAGCGGGGAGTCTGCTTCTCCCTCTCCCTCTGCTCGTGCTCTCTCAAATAAATAAAATCTTAAAAAAAAAATAAAAGTATCTTTCGGGACGCCTGGGTGGCTCATTTGGTTAAGCATCTGCCTTTGGCTCAGGTCATGGTCCCAGGGTCCTGGAATCGAGTTCCGCATCGGGCTCCCGGCTCAGCGGAGAGTCTGCTTCTCCCTCTGCCTGCCACTCCCCCTGCTTGTGCGCTCTCGCTCTGACAAATAAAATCTTAAAAAAAAATTAAAAAATAATAAATAAATAAATAAATAAATAAATAAATAAAAGTATCTTTCTCCAGGGCGCCTGCTGGCTCAATCAGTAGAGCATGTGAGTGCATGATCTAGGTATGAGTTCAAGCCCCACACTGGGTGTAGAGATTTTTTTTTTCTAAAGATTTTTCAAAGGGGCACCTGGGTGGCTCAGTCCTTAAACATCTGCCTTTGGCTCAGGTCATGGTCCCAGGGTCCTGGGAACGAGCCCCGCATCAGGCTCCCTGCTCGGCGGGAAGCCTGCTTCTCCCTCTCCCACTCCCCCTGCTTGTGTTCCCTCTCTAGCTGTCAAATAAATAAAATCTTTAAGAAAAAAAGATTTCTGAGAGAAAGAGAGCAAGCATAACCGACTGAGCCACCTGGGCGCCCCATAGAGAGTACTCAAAAAAAAAAAAAAAGTAGCTTTTCTTCATCACTATCCTGACCCTTCATGGGGCAGGGGCAACTTTTCATTGAATGAAAGAAAGCTGATGCTTCTATGTATCTGAGCATCATGCCAAATTTGCCCCGGGCTCTGCTCAGGCAGCTCAAATGAATTTGCCTGTGGTGACTTGGCAGGCAGGGGCACTCTGGAAGATGCATGATATGGCACAGCCAAAGGCTCTGCAGTGGATCCAGACAAGTCAGCGATGGCTAGGTGGATCCAGAAGCACCAAATGACCACAAAGGTCAGGAGAGAAACAAGTAAGGCAACAGACTCTTTATTTAACGTGGTTTAAAATACATCAAAATCAAGTCCCTGGCTGTTGTGAATACCAAAAGGAGACCAAAAAAGGCTGTCAGCACAGCTTTAAAACAAATCTGGGTGGCCAGGTCGGGCCATATGGGAAGCAGTTACAGGGACAGAAGGCAGCACCCCTCCCCCAGGCAGGTGCCTGGCTGTCCCTGGGGCGGCCGCCTCTGTGCTGCTCAGGTGGGAGGCCTGGGGCAGCAGCTGGAGAATCAGCTCAGTAGGCTTCGGCCTCCCCCACAGCCACCAGGGCAGTTCCACTGGCCTCTTGGTCGGCCCTCAGCAGGGCCACTGAAATGGGAGCGGAGATAACTATCCTTACAGACAGAACATCCTCTTACAGAAAGTGCCTGAGCTCAGCCCATGGTCCAAAAACCTCATGGAAAACAAACGAAAGCTAAGTGCTGCCGATACCTCTCGGGAACCTGGTGTACACGCGGCTCTCAGCCCGGCAAGGTCTGGGGCACACATTACGTCAGCAGGGCCAAGGGCTCTGGGCAGTGAGCCTCACCAGCAATGGTCCCCTGGAGCAAACGCTAGCAACCTAAGAATCCAACACAGCTCTTGGTCCTAAAACTGAGGTCATGTGCTCGGGCCCTGCCCTGGTGAGGAAGGTACTGGCCTTCATCCAGATAGGCCACCTTCCCTGCATTTGGCCCGGGCTCATGGCTGGCGAGGGCAGCCCCAGGTACCTGGGCGGACTTTGGAAAGCAGAACAAGCAGAACAGCTGTAGTGATTAGTGTGATTTGGTCAATGGAGAGAAGAGGGAGAGGGACAGTGGGAGCCTCAACTGTAGCCTGGCCCGGACGCCTAGACACGGCTGGAGCTGAGGGCAAAGGTTCTACTTGCCCAGGGCCTGGATTTTGGATCCAGGAAGCCTGGCTGGGACCACCTTGCTCCACTGCAGCCCCATAGTAACTAGACTGGCTCTCTAGGGGCGGCTGTGCCGTGGTCCCCCACACCACCACCCTGGGCTCCCACAGCCGTCCCCCTCAACCCCATGGGCTCTACGAGGTAGCTGAAGCAAGCAAGGCAATCGTGTGGGCTACTGCAGGCCTCCTGCTCTTGAAACCGGGCAGGCAGAAGCTTGCCTCTTCCCTGCGCTTCCAGAGTGCAGCACAGCCTGTACGTGGTTGGCAGTTTGTGTGTATCTCAGCCTGACACAGGGCCGGGGGGGGGGGGGAGGGGGAAAGAAGGCCTTATTGGGGAAGGACACGGCAGATCCAGGGACCATTCCAGATATAGCCATTTCAAAGGGCAAGATCTTAGGAAACACTTGGTTCACAGGAGAGCAGGAGCTCAGCCAGAGATAGCAAATAGGTCTCAACACTCCTCCTGGCTGCCAGGGGGGTCCTGAGAGCAGGCTACAGCAGGGATTAGCGGGAAACACTCTGAGGCCAAGCACTGCTTCCTGCCATGGGGGCAGAGGAAGAACGGTGTGCCGTTCCCATGCCATCTCTGGTCTAAGTCATTAACATGTTTCATGCGCACTTAGCACTCTTCATGAACCTGTTTACATGAGGGACTGAAGTGAAAGGCATGGAGAGCGGGCTGGTTGTTGAAGATGAAGGGACCTGCACGATAATGAACTAGCTTCAAGGAAATCCAGCAAGAAACAAAAGCTCCACCATCCTGTGCCTGTTGGTCCACAGCTCCCTCAGCTACACTGCAGCCGAGGCCTGGCTAGAGGCGGGGTGTCGGACCTCAAGCCCACCAGAGCCCAGCTTCCCAACCCGTGCCTCATTCTGTTGTTCCAGAAAATTGCTCTGTACAGACTGATGAATATGCAACTGGCAAAACTTTCAGTCTAGAGCAGCAAGTACTGGGGAGTGTGGGGGCACCAGACCCAAGTATCTGCAGCCGTCCTGCGGATTTCTGAGGCTCATCAACTGTCAAGTCTCACTCTGTCCCTCAGCTGTCAGACAAGAGCTGGGGGCTTCCACACAGGAACTGAGATATCAAGGACATACTTCAGCTTATTCTTTAGGCAATGGGACCAGGGCAAATCTCAAGGATTGCACATTAACGGTGGGGTTAGAAGCAGAGACAGACTCCTAAAAGCCAAGGGGACAGTTGGGCACGGGGTTCAGCAACTGCCACATGGAGACAGTGGTGATGGGCATCAGCAGTGGCCTCCCAGGACTGAAACACATAGGCAAGCTTGTGGCAAAACCATCAGACGCCCTTCTCTTCCTCCTAACCGCAATCTGATTTCACCAATAGGAAAGCTCAGCACCAACGTGGCAAAGATACCAGGTGGGGTGTTGAGGGTGGGGGGCACTGGAGGCCAACTGCGCCAGCACCCCTCCTCCTTTCTCAGATCAATACACACACTGTCATGTGCAAAACAAAAACAAAAAACAGAAACCTTCAGAAAGCATCCTTTGGGTGATCTCTTGTCAATCATTTGTGCAGGCTAGAGAGGCACCTGTGAATGATAAGGCTACTGAAAAGCATCGCCGGCCTGGTCCTGGCATCACCTGAGGGCTCCCTAACCATGTACCAGCCCACAGCAACTTTCTCCAGGTCCCCCGTCCAAAGCAGGACAGCAGCTGGATCGCCAGCTCTGCAGGCCCTGCCCAGGGACCCCCTTCTCCAGGTTAAGAGAAGCAAAGGAACTTCCAGGGGAGCTAGGAGAGCCAGAGCTGCCCAAGCCCTGCTAACTAGGGAAACACAGTCAAGGCCTGAGTGTGTCACTTGTCACAAGGCCTGAAGGGCAGGAAGGGGGGGATCTGAGCCTCAAGTCAGACAGGGGAATGCTCAAGTCACTTGTCCTGCCAGCTCACTGTGACAGCAGTTACAGATGGCAGCTCCTCTTTAAGACTCTTCAGCTCACAGAAGAGCCAGTGACTTCACCCGTGCACACCCCCACCTCCAGTGCAAGCCCATGTTCCACTTAGATATAGAAATGTAGGAGGCCTTGCACATATACCATATGCATGGAAAACTGACCCACAAAATCCAAAACTGCGAAGTGTCAGATGTCAGCCAGGTCGGAGCACCCTGAGCCTCAGCACTGGACTGCCTAGCAGTGGGAGCCTTGCCTGGGCCAGGCCTGGCTGGGCTGCTTGCTCCGTTCCCAGCACGCCCCCTGTGCCAGGTTCCCTAGGCAGTGGTGGAGGTGGACTCCTGGGGCCCCGCTTGGCCGGGCGTTTCTGTGCTTGCTGCTCCAGGGCAGCAAGGAGCTTCTGTGACCCTCGGGGAGCTCGGTGACTGGGCCCCAGGACCCTCACAACCCTGATCCCTGGAGGCGGTTGCAGCCTCTGGTCTTCGCTCAGGGCCGCCATCAGGGAGGGAGCCCTGGCCACCAGCACTCAGGTCCTGTACCCTTTTGTTCAGGTCGTTGCGCTCTGTCTGCAGCGCCCGGCACAGTTTCTCCAGCCGCTGGATTTTCACCTGTAGGCCCTCCAGCTCTTTGTCCCGGAGTGTTTTCTAGGGAAAGAAATGGGGCCTCAGTGCCACACCATCAGGCCCCCACCCCACAGAGTCACGTGGTAGAAAACATTCACACTTGAATGATACTGGGAGCAGACCAGAGCCAAGAGCTGGTCCCTTCCTAGTGAAACAGCCCTGGTGTGTGCCAAGACATGGCTGCTGGTAGGGGGGCAGTGTGGCACCGAGAAGGGGCGTGGCTTGAAGACAACTTATCTCTCCATTTATCTGCCAGATAACACAAAGTAGGACTTTTTCCTTATCTGTTAAAATGGCCTACTGGGGTGCCTGGATGGCTCAATCGGTTAAGCATCCGACTCTTGATTTCGGCTCAGGTCATGATCTCAGGGTCGCAAGATGGAGCCCCACGTCAGGTTCTGTGCTCAGCAAGGAGCCTGCCTGAGATTCTCTCCTCTCCCCAACCCTGTGCCTCTCCCCTCTGCTCACACATGCACCTGCACACACGATTTCTCTCAAATAAATATATTTTTTAAGGTTTTATTTGAGAGTGCATGCACATGTGCACAAGGGCGGGGAGGGGCTGAGGGGCAGAGAGACAAGCCGACTCCCCACTCAATGGGGAGCTCAACTTGGGGCGATCCCAGGACCCTGAGATCATGATCTAAGCCGAAGTCAGATGTCAGATGCTTTACCAACTGAGCCACCCAGGTGCCCCTAGATAAATAAATCTTAAAAAAAAAAAAAAAAAAAAAAGGCTAACATCAACCTCACAGATCTTGAGAAGGTTCAGTGAACAGCCATTACCTAAAACATTTAGGAAGGTCTAGTATATAGTAGCTACTCAAGCAATTAGTTCCTCTCTTCTCCATCTCAAGCCATGAAATCAAATTAGCTGAGCTACTCTGCATATAAACTGTGTGCACCATTGGTACTCCTTGGTTTTTCGGTTCCTGTATTTCTTTCTTCCATCTGTTTTCTTTGCTTCTAGTGCAGACCTACCACTGGGCTCACCATCTCCCAGTTGGCAGTGCCTTTGGACAGACAGACACGTAAGTCCCAGTGCCATCTCAGGCCACCTGCATGACTTACTGGTAGGATGCAGAGGAAAGGGCCCAACACTCAAAAACTGCCCTCCCCCCTCCAGCTGCAGAGCACACACAGCCCACCTCCTCAGCCATCTCAAGCAGGGCCTTGTTGCTGCTTTCCCACCGGGACCGGTACATGGTGGTTTCTTTCTCCAGCTTCTTGATCTTCTTGGTCATCTGGGTTATGGGACAGAAAGAAGGAAATTGTCAGGGGTCCAGACCATCTGTGCATCTGTCATCTGTGCATCTGTGTCTCCAAGGTGGGGGAGTCCCAAGAGGGCAAGGTATTACGGGCGCAGTCAGTGCCTTTGGTGCCACCTTGGGACATCTCAAAGTAAATGCTGCCGCCACCACCACCAAGGAATGACAAGGCTGCCCCTTCTCCAGGACAACCTGGAGGACGCACGTATCAGTGATGCTTCCTCGAGAGGTGGGGAAAGGCTCGGATCTCTCCTTACAGCCCACCCTTGGTATCAATCACACTGTTACTGTAAACAGATCCCCAGGAGGCACCCCAGGGGCTGGGGCTTCTGGAAGACAGGCCCAGTGTGCCCCTGCAGCCACACCCAGCCTGGACACTTACCTTCTCCATCTCCTGTTTGAATGTGGTGAACACCTCACTGCTTTTGGAAAGAGTGTTCTGGAATTCCTCAAACTTCTCTGTGTATAGGGCCAGCTGGGTGAGAAAGAAGCCGAGATAAGATTAGGCTTCTCTGGAAGGCACTTCTGGTTAACACAGACCCAGCCTTGGACCTCGGACCCAACAATTCTATTGAGATACCATTTTTCTTTTCTTTTTTTAAACGATTTTATTTATTTGACAGAGCGAGAGAGCATAGGCAGGGGGAGCGGTGGAGGGAGAGGGAGAAGCACGCTCCCCACTGAGCAGGGAGTCGGACTTGGGGCTTGATCCCAGCACCCTGGGATCACAACCTGAGCTGAAGGCACACACTTAACCGACTGAGCCACTCAGGCACTTGGGATACCATTTTTTTTTTTTTTTTTTAAAGATTTTATTTTTTATTTATTTATTTGAGAGAGAGAGAGAACGAGAGATAGAAAGCACGAGAGGGAAGAGGGTGAGAGGGAGAAGCAGACTCCCTGCTGAGCAGGAAGCCTGATGTGGGACTCGATCCCGGGACTCCAGGATCATGACCTGAGCCGAAGGCAGTCGCTTAACCAACTCAGCCACCCAGGCGCCCTTGGGATACCATTTTTAAAACAAAACAAAAACTATGTATTTGGAAGGACAGAATCCAAAATGTTAAGCCTAGAAAGGATTTGGGGTGACATATTTTGCCTCTATGTATGTTTTCAAACTTTTCTTCTGAAATTAAGTACAATTAATGTAATTAAAAACAACCACTCCGTCCCTGCCTCCTCAAAAGCAGCACACTTCCAACTAGGAACGAAGTCCTTCAAGCTCACCTAGCCACCTGGTCACCACCATAGGTGCTGGGCGGGTCCAGAGAGAACAAAGGCTCAGCAAGGTCACACAGCAGTCAAGGTGGTCCTAGAACGAGGGTCTCATTTCCCTCCCCCAGGATGGGGCCCAGTGAGGGGACCTCAAGAGGCACAGGATCAGGACCCACTCTGTCTCACCTGCTGCTTCAGGTGGGTCTCCTGCTGCTTCATCAGCTCGCACATCCTCTGGGACTCCACTGCCTCTTTGAGGAGCTATTTCCAAGACAGGACCCCAGATCCTATCAGAAGCCCCTAGGGGCTGTTTGGTCTTTTTTAGCCATATGCCCCAGGACCCACTGAAGCTTCCTGCTCTCTGACTGCTATCTGAGGAAGCAATGTCCTGATCTGGCCAGGCGGCAACCTTTCCCTGACAAAACTGACTATGCGCTGAGCCAGAACCCAACCTGCCTCCTCCCAGACTCCCCACCCTCAGGGCCCAAGCCTCACAAAATCCTTCTCCCGCTGGTGCCTCTCCTCTGCCTCTTTCAGCATCTCTTGGGCCTGCTGGAGCTTGGCATCCACCAGCTGCTGCTGCAGGTCCTTGTGTTTGAAGACTTTGTCGATATGCTGCAGGAAAGCATGGTGGGAGGGCCACCTGTCAGCAGCTCCCTTTCTCAGGGAGGCCTGGCGGCTACAGAGACATCCCATCTGCAGAGACCAGGTTCCCCTGCCCAGCCTCCCATCTCACTCTGACACACTGGACTCCTCATGTTCCACAGCACTTGGGCCCCTCGTCCCTGGAAGGTCTACTTCCCAATCTCACCTTGTTTCTCTCCAGTCAGTCCTGGGTGGGCAGAGGGATGAAATCAGCTCCCAAGAAGCCAAGTAATAAATACACTCAAACCTCCGGCCCCAGATCACTCCGCTGGGCTAACAACCCTCACTTTTGTAGCCCGACTCCCTTGTAAATGGGAAGAAAGGACAAAAACGACACCTCCACCAACACAACAGCTTAGCTCCGTTGGCAAAGATCTGCCCCATCTATAGACCCAGACTAGATGTGCGAATTCCAAGGCACTCCTAACTGCCAGAGGGGCCCTGGGGGCCGGGAGCAGGTGAGACAGCAAGAGGCAGTGGACTCAGTGTGGCTTCAAAGATCAAAGCAGCTGAGGAAAGGCACGTGGGGACGTCACCTACGTTCCTAATAGGAAAGGAAAGATGGCCTGGAGGTGGGTGGTGGCTGTGCAGGACTCCTTACCTCCTCCCGGAGCTCGTACTGCTCGATCAGCTTCTTGAGCCTCTCTGCCAGCTCCATGTTCTCCTGGCGCAGCTTGGAGTTACGCTCATTGTGCTGTTCCATCTGCAGCTGAATGTCGTTCAGCGTCACCTGGAAGTGTGAGGTCACCTCCTTGCGTTTCTCCTCTTCCTCCCGGGCCCGCTGCACGCCTTCTTCCTGGGCAGAGAAGTCAGCGCCAGCTCCATCAGCCGCAGCTCCCCAGCCAGCCATGGTCTGTACCGACAACCCTCTCTGCTCTCAGAGTGAGGAGCGGCCAGGTTCCAAGATGTCCTGCGGTGGGGCTCCCAATGGACCCCTCTGTCGTGACAGCAAGGGAGAGGTTCTCTCCCTAGAACGATGCAGGCATTCTAGAGGAACCTGGACCTCCCACAGCCCATTCTTCCAGACCTTGGGTTAAGTAGACTTGTTTCTGCACTTTCATTTCTCACCTCTCACCCCCACTCCCGACCCCTAGTTCAGCAGTACCCAGGGCTGGCAAGACTGTGCAGAATTAGGCATGCACACACTATCGGTGGGAAGGCAATCTGGCAAAATCTATTAAAATTTACAATGTGCACAATCTTGGACCCAGACATTTCACTTCTGAGGTTTATCTTGTGGATAAATTGTATACAATGAGCCGCGGATATATACGTAACTAGAACTTCCACTGTAGCTCTATGTATGTAGTAGTGTAAACTTAGAAAAAACGCAGCAATTCCTTAACTGGGGCACTGATAAAATACCGCATATGCATACAACAATGCTGTCAAACAGAATGAGACAGCCCTAAATAAACTGAGAGAGAAAGAGAGCTACGCACTCACTCTGGGAAGCGAGAAGATGGAAGGGGATGTGAAACGATACACGTACGACCGCTCCGTTTATACAGAAGCCCACGCGGGAGCGTGTACAGACGCAGGCAAGTCTGCAGGCTGTACTTGAACTCGTGTGTAAGTAGGTGGACTTCCCAGTGGTTTCTGATGGACACTGGGGTTGAGGAGGGTGGGCAACTGTCACTTTTAATCTGCTAGACTTTCGTCACCTCTGAATCTCTCATACCAAGTTTGTATTAAAGTTGAAATGCTGTCCAACTAAAAATGAGCAAAACACATTGCAAAATACCATATATTTGCTGATCCAAATTTGTAAGAAATAGACAAAGGATCCAGAGGTCATAGCAGTGACTGGGCTTTAACCAGACTGACCCCACCCCCCGAGAAGCAGGACGAAAAGTCCCAGCATTCCAGACCGACCAAGGCTGGGAGAGGAGCTGCCTGCCAGCAAACTGGACAATACAGAAGCCCTGCCTCCCGGGCTCCCTCAGCACCTCAGCCTTCATTTACCGGACACGAGTATGGGTCAAGGGGTTCTAAGAAGCTGCCGCTAAGGTAGGGGCGTTACCGGGGACACCGATGTCTCTGGGGAAAGCCTGTGCTACTTTTTAAGGGGAAAGCCCACCGAAGAAGAGTGGAAGTCAAGGGAAGCCGAGTCGCAGGGGCCGGCCCACCTTGAGTGAGCGGTTGTGACGCTGGAGCTCACGGCACAGGCTCTCCAGCTTGCTGCGGGCCAGGACGGCCTTGCTGTGCTCCCCACGCAGGTGGTCCTTCTCCTGCACCAGCTGGCTCTGCTTCTTCTGCAGCAGCTTCATCTGCTTCTGGGAGTTCCGGTGCTCCTCCAGCTGAGGACAGGCAAGGCAAGGAAGTGCCGTGTGGGGCTCTTCCCCGGGGACCCCGGCCTCTCCCGACTCCAGTTGTTAACGGTTCCAGCTGGACACCGTGCGGGTGATTCGCACCTCTCCGACAACCCCGAGGGCCCCGTGGCAGGGATACAGAAACGGGCCCTCGGGAAAAGCAGGGCTGCAGAGGCTGCAGACCCCAGCTTCTCCCTGCTCTGACCAGAGACAAAGTTCTCAAGACTCTCACCTCTTGGGACACTCATGAACTCACACGAGACCCCCACCACCCCTTCTTGTACTCAACAGACCCCCGTCACTCCCTCTCACTGCTCCGAGACTCTGCACCATTTCTCTCCTCAAGGTGATTGCTGTTATCATTTTGGCCTTTTCATTACGGACAGATCTTAACCTCCTCCTCAGACCCTGTCCTCCCCCCCAGATCAGCTACCCTCCTGTGAGCCCATTCAACGCAGATACAGTGTGACTCAATTATGTAATGACAACTCTTCCAGTGGCCACATTAAAAAGGTAAGTAGATGAAATTAACACTAGTAAAATATTTACTTAATCTAGTATCTATTATTATAATATTCAACCTGCAACCAATGTAAAAAATTTGCGTATTTTATTCTTCCCCTTTCCTCAGGTGTTTGAAATCCAATGTGTATCTTACGCTCGGAGCACACCCAAATCCAGACCTAGCCACATTTCAATTGGCTCGCGGTTCCTGTCCTGGACAGTGAGATCCAGGTTTTGTCATTACCCAGAAGCACACGCACCTCCATTATCTCATCCCAGGGCAGGACCACTATCACCTATCGTTCTAGTTCCTTCCCAATGCCTGTGGTCCCAGAAAGTCTACTATAGTGGACCTCCAACCCAATGACCCAATCATCCTTCCACTTTCCTTGAACTCTCCTTTAAATAATCACTGATCTTCTTACCTGTCCTTGATTTCTTATACCCTCAACTCTCTTGCCCCCTTCTCGTAGCAGAACTCCAACCCTGATACACCAGCCTTCTGATTCCTCTACACCGCACTGAAACAGCCTTGCCTGAAGAATCTCACTTTAAGTTCGCGACCACCCCTTTGGGGCAGAGCCTTGTCTGCCACGCGGCCCGACGATATTCCTTACGTTAGTCCACAGAAGTGTTTCGTCGTCCTCCTTTTCAACTCTCCTCCGCCCCAGCAACAACTAGCTTTCTCATCTCGCTGAGAATGGAAGCAACCAGAGGCACAGGGGCAGAAGCTCCACCTCTGCCCACCCACCTCCAGCTGCCTTCTCCTCCAGTCACCAGGACCCAGCCACGCTTCCTACCACAGCCCGCCCTCCCGCTCTGGCCCTCACCTCCTCGTCTACTTGAGAACATGACTCTAGTGACTCAGCTACTCCTCCCTTCATCAGTCTTTCCCTGGCTGGCTCATTCTGAAGGGGTGGTATCTTTTTCATATCCTGTCCTTTATTTAATCGTTATAATAACCCCACCAGGCAGGTGTGATTTTCCCAATTTTACAAATGAGAAAAATTCCCTATAGGAGAATTCCAGCTAATAAATGTGAATAAAGTGAAAGAAGTTAAAAATAAGTAGTCAGGAAATGACCCCGGATGAACCCATTCATTCAAATTCTGATGGCAACCTAACAAGGGAGAAACCTGGGTGGCCCCACCTGAACCCGGCGGGCAATCTTCCATCACTAAAAGTGGGAGGAGCACACTGTATTTCTCTACAGAGTACCACTTATGAAGAGCTCTTATCAAAAGTGTTGAACTTGGATTGGATCAAGCTTCTAGAGCTAATTTCCACTTTATCTACAGGAACTAAGGAGGTAAAGGAACAAATTAATTGCCACCACAAAGCGAGAAAGTGAGGCACCCTACAGGACAACCGATCTGCAATATGTCAATGTCATGAGAAAAAGGTTGGCAGTAAGATGAAGACTGTTTTGGAGTAAAAGGAAAAACAGTTGTAAGGACCCAATGCATTAAATGGACCTCCTCTAGACCCTGATTTGATCAAACGGACATTTTCAACAAACAGGGAAAGATTCGGAGTAGAGAATATCACGTGACCAGCGCTAATTGTAAGTGTGAGGACGGCGCTGTGCATTTCCACATTTTGGGGAGATGCACACTGAAGCACACAGGTGTGAGATGATGTGGTATCTGGGACTGGGGCCAGAAGCCAGGGTTCTACGACTGGAATGTGAAGGGTCTCCTCTTATAGTTGGCCTGGAAGAGGCCAGCTGGGACTTGACTCCCCACTAACAGATGCGGAAAAGGCTGAGAAAGAGGCTGAACAGGAATTAAGCCACCCACTTGCCCCTGCACCCTCAACCCCATGCCAGGTGGCCTGCTGACTTTCCAAGGCAGGGCGGGTGCAAGGAGAAGGGGGAGAACTGACCAGTTCGGCATACTTCTTGCACAGAGCTGCGAGCTTCTCCTCTGGGGTGCTCAGCGTGTTCAGTGTCTGCATCAGCAACGTGATCTCCTTCCCTGCAAAGCACAGGGAGCGAAAGCATGGACCCCTTTCTCTGGGGCTCTTCCCAGGCCCCCGCTTACACTCTTAGGCCTCGAGGCAGCCCTCCACCATTATACTTTATATTTAGTTTGTGGAACTGGCTGCCATCCCGTCAGACCGTATGCTTCATGAGGGTGGCCACCAACTCACTTCTGCCTATTCCTGTCGCCCCAGTGCAGCCCGGTACTGTCCCTAGTGCCCATCTCAGAGGATGTGCTCAACAACCGCTTGACAAATGACTGAGGCTATGTGGAGACTCTGTGGTGAACACTGGGGGTGGGAGAAAAAAACTTGCCTGCTCTACCAGCAGGAGAAAAAAAGACATCCCACTGGCCAAGTGCTACTTGTCGACGCAAGGAAGGCCCTTCTGAAAAAGGATGGATGCAAAAAAGGAATAGGTCTCCTTGGGAACGACTAAACTCTTGTCAACAGAGGCAGCCAAACAGTGAACTTTATTTGTTCCCTCCCAAACAGTGAATTTTAAAAAGAATGCATCTTCCAATATTTGATCCCAAGATTAAGGAACAACAAAAACAAAAAACCCTCTTTCAATTAGGATGACAGGCAGAGGACGCGGAAGTAAGGACTAAGACACGGGTATATCACTTAACTTTGATTCTTTAACACTCACACTACCTCTCCCCCCATAACTTCCTCTCACTGTCTGTGCCTGAGTCAAGGGCTCTTCCTTCTGCCTCCCTGGAGGGCTGCTGTGCATAGCACAGCACCCAGCTCCTGAAGTGTCAACCCCAAGAGGCCCAAAAGATCAGTGTGGAGACTGCAAGCATTGGCACACAGGCCAGATCCAACCCACACGTGGGTTTTGTTTGCCTCCTAGCATATTAGTTGCCAACTGTTAAAAATCCAGAGAGATTTCAAGTAACTCTGCATAAAAGAGGCAAAAAAAAAGGCTGGCCACATTTAGCCTGTAGTGTTACATGCTATTAGCATGCTGGGACCAGAGGGCAATCACCCCTTTGGATGAAATAGGCAACATCTTGTCCTCATAGGATCCCCTGTCTAACTTGGCTTATTTTTCTTTCTTTTTTTTTTTTAAGATTTTATTTATTTATTTGACAGAGAGAGACACAGCGAGAGAGGGAACACAAGCAGGGGGAGTGGGAGAGGGAGAAGCAGGCTTCCCGCGGAGCGGGGAGCCCGATGTGGGGCTCGATCCCAGGACCCTGGGATCATGACCTGAGCTGAAGGCAGACGCTTAACGACTGAGCCACCCAGGCACCCCTAACTTGGCTTATTTTTCAACCCTGGTCTAGTCCAAATCTTACTGTAGACAAGCGAAAACTAAGCACCAGAAAGGAAAAGGTCTTGCCCAAGTTCACAGAGCAGGTTAGAAATAGTGCTAGCTGACACAAGAGCCCACATAGGCCTCCTGCTCTCCATTTTCTCAAAGATGGAGCAGGGTAGATTTTGGTTCCCATCTACTCCCAAGGCCAGAAGCCCCTGTGCAGTGAACAACCTACATGCCTCTGTTCTATGGCCCGCAAGCCTGGCTTGGATCAAACTAATGTGACTTGCTGCTCTGGAAAGTAGTTTCCTCTGAATCCTGGCAGAGCAGGTTAGCCCAAGGAATGTCAGGTCCAAACTCCCCCGCCTCACCAGCCTCGCCAGTAGCTGCCCTCTGCTCACCCAGACCCTTGGCTTTCTTCTTCTCCTGGGGCCTTCGGTGATCTCGGTCTCCGACCTCGTCACTTGCCCGGATCTCATCTGTGCCCGGCTCCCCCTTGGAGGTCTCCTTCTCACCATTGACTACCGGGGTCTCTGGCTCAGGCTCCCCATTCCGCGAAGCATAGGTCCGGGACTTGTCTGCATCTTCGGGTTCAGCAGGCTCACCCTGTGCCCCATCCTCACCTGGGCCCCCCTGATTGTTGTCCACACAGTATGTACTCAGGATGTCTTCCAACTGGCGGCTCAGCTCCTCAGAGACATCACGGAGGGGCCCAGACTGAGCAGTTTTGGCTTGTGCTCCTACAGCAGGGCAGGATGAGGGGCAGAATGAGAAACAAGATGATTATTCCACTGGCTGGGATTTTTCAGGCCCAAACTTACTGGTTTGGGTTAAACGCTGCCTACCTTAAGCCTCAGTTTATTCACCTATAAAATGATATAATTATTTCCCATTACTGCCCACCATGTCTGTTGTGAGTGTGAAAGAAATCAAGGAAATAAAGCATCTAGCACATAGAAATGGCATGTACCTGGAGCTCAACATCTAGTCCATCCCCCTTCTCCTCCCCACAAAAATCATTTCTGGCTATTAAAGTTCCAGGGGCGCCTGGGTGGCTCAGTTGGTTAAGCGGCTGCCTTCGGCTCAGGTCATGATCCCAGGGTCCTGGGATCGAGTCCTGCTCAGCAGGGAGCCTGCTTCTCCCTCTCCCTCTGCCTGCCTCTCTGCCTACTTGTGCTATCTGTCAAACAAATAAATAAAATCTTAAAAAAAAAAAAAAGTTCCAGAAAGGTCTCCAATGTGAAGAGTAGTTACCCACTGGTGAATATATATATATATATATATGTATGTATGTGTGTATATATATATATGTGTATGTATACATACATAGTATTTATAACCTGGGCTGGCTGGTTGAGTGTCTCATTTGATTGCCACCTGATTTAACCCTGTCAAAGCCTTCTCTCAAGACTTCTGTTCCCGTGCTTAGAGTGGGAGGCTATATCAACGTCCCCCCCACCTCGGGAAACGGGGATCTGGGGGTGGCACAGACTCAGCGCGGTCGCCCTCTCATTCTACATTTCCTCCTTCCTGGGTAAACAGCGGCAGAGGCCTCCAACTCCAGAAGCTACCCTGGCGCACCACAAACTCCTCCCCCTGCCCGCTGGAAAGCAGAGCTGGCACACACCCTCAGTCTTCCCCGGAGCCTGGCTGGAGGAACCTTCGGCTTCTGTCGCAGGAGCCGGCTGGCTGGGCCGCCCCTGGGTTCCCTCTGGTCCTGCTTCCGCTTGCCCCGGGTTGGTTTTTGGGTTGGAAGTGTTGCCAGACTGCTTAGCAGCCCCATTCTTTTTGTCTTGGTTCTTCATTGTGGTTTGCAATGCTAGGCTGGGAGCAGATCCTATAGAAACAAGCACACTCGCTATTTTCCAGACTTCGAAATTCTTCACAGCTTGGAGCCGAAATCCCAATACCGGGTGCACAAAGCTTCTTAGAACACACTGGCTGGCTTTCACCGGAGGGAGCCAACGGTTGTCTCAGGCCGGTCAGGGAAGCACGGCGCGCCCAGGCAGGTTTTCGGGGCGCCGCTCCATAAGTAGGGCAGGCGAGGCCTCCTTTTTCTCGAAGCCGCTTCCCGGCACTACACGGCCCCCTCACCACAGGCAGAGCGCGGGATAGGCTCAGGGCCGGAGACTGACGTGGCGGGACGCTAGATTCCCATCCCTCCCCCGGCCCCCCAGGCCCCACGTGGGTACCCCCCCGCGTGCGCAGCCACCCACACCCCGCGCGCCCCGCCCGCCCGCGCATGCGCACAGGCCCCAGCCCGGTCCCCCCCGGCCCGCGCCCTTGCGCGGAATCGGCATGATTTCCCCCACTGGCCGAGAGCGTTCAGGCCCACAGACCTTCTGGTCGCCTAGTCCGCCCAGCCTCCGCGACACACACCTCACTGCCGACCTCCCGACAGCTTCGCCCGCTCTCGCCTCGCACCGGAAACCCTGGGTAACCGCTGCCGGCCGAGCCGCCTGCTCCTGCCGCAGCCAATCAATAGCCGGAGCTCTCGCGGGGCTTGCTGGGAAAGATGAAGCGAAGGCGGCCTCTGAGGCGGGTGAGTTGGGAAAGCGGGGGAGGTAAAGGACTACACCTCCCGCCATGCACCGGGGCTGACTCCCCCCCCCCCCCGGCAACTCCCAAGGTGCAGTAGAAAGGACTTTAGTTCTGGAAGCCGGATGCCCAGGAGGTCTGAAAGGAGCTAGTCATTTTGCACAAATACTCGAGTCCATCTCGTTCCTATCGTGAAGTTATAATTCAGGTCCAAAGCCCTGCGACTGGCTATTCTTTACTGCACACCCCCACCGGCCCTTACCGTCTGCTGTGAACATCTATGACTAGGAACTCTGAGGACAAGGGATAGAATATTGGGCTGAGAATCAGACCTATATTCCAGTCGTAACCTCATCGCTAATCTGTGTGACCGGGCATTCTTTTCTCTCCCAGGGCCTCATTTTCCGTATTCAAATAACTTTTCATAACAGTAGTAGTTCTTTGAGTGTTTACAGTGTGCATTTTAACATCTACTAGCTTAATCCTCGTAACTACTTACTAAGATTAGTACTATTTCTTATTCCTATTTGCATTTGAGGACAGTAAGGCAGAACTTACTTTGTTCCATCGCTATTGAGTGGTGTGAGGAGGGATTCAAAACCAGTCTCGGACAGTACCCATTTTAACTCCTGGACTACTCTGACTCCTACCCAGAAGAAATAACCATGGTACCCTTTCCCTGAGGATGAGTGAAGGTAATTTGGTGAAATTATTTACCCCCGGCCCCCAACTCTCCATTACCAACCCGAGTCCCTCTTTGGAAGGAGCTGAGGGGGCTCTGCAAGTTGTTTGGCCTCAGCAGATTCCTGAACTTTTTCTCTGACTGGCCCACCCTCTACAGACAAAATCCGAGTTGCACTTGGGGCTAAAGGGGGAAAACCCAAACTTCTTCCCAATGTGAGATCACAGTTCTTTATTCAGCTGCCTATAGATAATGGAATAAAAAGCCAACAACCCATGTGCCTGGAATTTAATGTGTAAATGGTTTGGCTTGTTTCCAGCCAATCCTGCCCATGCCCTCTTTTTTGCTCCCACTATACTTTTACTATTTCCAGGATTTCCCAGTTTTTTTGCAGGTGCTATTCCAGCTTCCAAAATGCCCTTCTGACAAAAACAGTATTTTGAGGTCCAACACAGAGGTCACTTCAGAGCCTTCCCAGTGCTCTGCAGTCTGTCCCTGCTCCCTAGGTCTGGATAGAACTCTCTAACAGCATTAGTAATGGATGTTATTATTTGCTTACAATTCAATGAACATTGTAAGAACTGTTGGCTAAATTGTAGTCCTAAAGCCCAGAATCAGTCCGGGGCAGCGAAGGCAGAGAATGAAATTGTGCAAATCGAGCACTGTTTTGGGGCTCTTAAGGATGTTCAGTATTTTCCCCAGTTAGACTTAAGGGCAGTGCTCTTCCTCATCCCTTAGTCTGTTTACCAGGTAACCTTGAGAATATGGTAAAATAGTATAAAGGTGGAACTCAAGCCAGAAATGTTGGGAATCCAGGTGTCTCTGAACTAAGGCCCTGATTATTTCCAGAAAAACAGGTTGGAAATCTCTTGAGTTAACATATAAATCAGGCCTTGATGGGTTCCCATGGGAAGAGGGTTTTCTAGGCAGAGATAAAGAAGATAATAAGAACAAGGCATGTGTGGGGTTAAGGGGGTAGAATGGTGTAGCTAGAAAGATCAGCAGTGGCCTACACAGGCCAGTTGGGTAGAGTAGGCAGGCGAGGAATAAGAAAAATTGAGAAACATGGGTTAAAGGTTATTTTCTCATTTGCTGTAAAAGAAAATAGCAACAATTGTTAACATTTTCCAGATTGTCGGGGAGACCATTGGGAATGGTGAGGATTGTGGTAAAATAGAGCTCTTGCAGGTTGTTTTCAAGCAGAAACTTAGATCCAGTAGTGCCAGAAATTTTTCAAGTTAAAAAATGATGGCAATGAATTAAACATACTCTTATCAGCCAACCAAACCTTCCTTTTAGATTACATCAGCTTTTTGGCTGGTTGTTTGTAATCTCTGTCCGAGGAATTGACCTAAACGGGAGTAGTTTGTATGACCCCAGTGGCTCAAAGGGCTGTTAACAGGAACTGATGAAATGTCAAAATCCTGTAGAGAAGCTCTAGAAAATGCAAACTAAACTACTGTGACAGAACACAGATCAGTGGTTGCTGGGGGTTGGGCGGGAAGGAGGGACTCCACAGGGGCATGTGGAAACTTCTAGAAGTGATGGATATGTTTACTATCTTGATTGTGGTGGTTTCATGGGTGCGTATGTCAAAACTTATCAAATTGTACATTTTAAATATGTGCCAGTTACTGTATCTCAATTATATTTCAATAAAGCTGAGTAAAAAAAAATTCTTGGGGTACCTGAGTGGCTCAGTCAGCTAAGTGTCCGGATCTCAGCTCAGGTCTTGATGTTAGGGTTGTAAGTTTGAGCCCCGTGTTGGGTGTGGAGCCTACTTAAAAGCAATTCTTGGGGCGCCTGGCTCAGTTGGTTAAGCATCTGCCTTCGGCTCAGGTCACGACCTCAGGGTCCTGGAATTGGCCAGGTGTCGAGCTCCCTGCTCATTGGGGAGTCTGCTCCTGCCCCCCCCAGCTCCTGTGCTCTCAAATGATTAAAAATCTTAAAAAAAAATTTTTCTTTATAAGCAGGAGCAGGCTGCTGCAATCCTAATTCCACTGTTAAGCCACACGTTTAAACACCCTTAGCTCATTCACTTCCAAAAAATCCAGTTTAGGATCATTCGAAAGAAGACGATTTAGAACTTTGCAACAGGTTTTTATTTTTGCTTTATATCTAGTACAGTGTTTGAAACCTAAAGAAATACATTTTCTCTTCAAATTTGGATGTGTATATAAATATCATTTGTCTGGACTCAGCACACTCAATGCCACGGTTTCTTGGCCTATGTCTGCTCTGCAATCATCAAACTTTGTCCGTCTACCCAGGGGCCCTGAGAACATGGAAAATAGCCAGAGTCTATAGTTCTTGGAAAACTAAAAGCAAATCTGGAAAGATTAAACCAATGGGGGAAAAGTTTCGATTCACCTTCCTAGGGTCTTTAGCTGGGAACCCAAGCTGTTTTTGAAGGACATCCAGTCTGACCTCGGTGGATGGGACCTCATACCCACCTCCCACCCCTCCTTAGCTTCTTTAGTCATCAAAGGCAGTTCTCACAGAAACTGGCTAAGAGAGACAATACCGAACTCCAGGGTCTGAGGGTTCTGGTAGAGATGGACTCTTTTTCATGACATCCTGAGTCAAGAGGTTCCCAGCCAATCTCAGGATCTGAGCTTTGACTTCCTTCACTGGCCCCAGGGCATGGCAGAGTTTTTTCTCCCCAAACCCAGGAGCTGAAAATCTAATCTACACAGGGGAGGAGGGCTAGCGTTAGGAAAGGGGTTTAGGTATGTGCTAACATGGACATCAGCAGTCAGGCTGGCCCAGAAATAGCGAGGTAGGCCCAAAACCACTGGAGACCTTTATGACACACTAGAGAGACCTTTTCCTGGGTGTTCAGGGCCCAAAATTTAATGTTGCTGCCCACACCCAGTTTTGGTTCTGCACATACCCCAGGCCTGATGCAAAATGCCCTCTCAGAGGAAAAATAACAGCTTTAATTCACAGACTTGATTGGTACTGACTTCAAATTCTTCCCTTGTCATGGTCTTAAAGTGGGGGTGGGGCTAGGGGGTAGACAATGGGATGACTGAATCATTTACGAAGGCCTTGGACAAAGAGCAGTTAGTGCTTACCACATGGATCCCCGCAGGGCCAAATTCTCAGCTTGTTGGCTTAACAAAAGGACTTCAAAAGTTAAGACACAGAAAAAATACTGGACAAGATTGGTCTAGAATGTGCAATCCTAAACAGCTGTGGAAGAAACCTACTCAGCAATTTCTCAGTCTCACACTTACTCACTTCTAGGACAGTCCTACCTAGAAGATGTTGCTACTGGTTATGAGTATGTCCTATGATTCAGTGCACTGAGCCTCACACCTTTCCCCAGGCTGCCAGGGAGGCCTCCAGCCAGCCTGTCCTCCCTACGGCTCCCTGCCTTCAACTGAAAATCCAGAATCTGGGCTCATAGATTATCTACTGCAGAATCCAAGATGATGGATACCAAGCTGAGTGAGTCTCAGGGAGAAGAGGAGGGAAGTACTGTTCATCTTCCCTTTTAGTTTGCTGGAAACAAGTAGCTCTAGGGTATAGAAGGAAACAGGTAGACATGAGAACTTGGAAATCCAGTTCATTCTGTCAGATGGTTTTCATTTTAAACTAGTGTGACTTGAGAGAAAAAGTGTGCCTGAGAGCCTTCTTTCACTCCTCCTTGACCAAGTACAGTAGCAGCTATTATCTGTGCAGTTTAGCTCCAAAAAATAGGGCTCTTGGGAAGTGGCTTCCAGGGCAAAGAGTAGGAGTAGATCTAAGGTTCTTGGTAAAGGGGGAACAGCAAGGGTCCCCGAAAGCTGAGGTCATCAATACCTGCTTTTTGGAAGTCATCTGTCCGCACTGCCCCAAGTAACCAGGCTGGCCAGCTGAAAGTGGAACCCATGAAGTTCTACCAGAAGGCAGCAGCCAATGCCAAGGCCATGCAGTCACCTGGGGTCAGCTCAGAACTGAAGGCAGACTTGTAAGACCAAAGACTATTAGTACTAGAGATGTTGGGGGTAGGGTAACCAGAGGGGCTGGCAATAAATAGCCAACAGTCTTTAAACTGATAAGGAGTCTCTAAAAGGCTCCTTATCCCCTGATCCACACCTAGGTATCTCCACCTCCAGCGGAGATCTTAAATGGATATACCAGCCATGTGCCAGCATATGAAGATTCCAAAAACAGATCTTTTCATCAAGTCTATTCCCGACAACAGGCTGTGGAGCCCCTTCATCCCTACAACATCCATTCAGATATCTACCGGAGAGCAGACTGTGACCTCGTTGAGGCCAGGGTCTGAAGTCCAGATTGGGGCTGCCCACCAAGAGTGGCTGTCAAGGCTGGGCTACGGAAATAATGTTTTGCTTTCCAAGAGGACCAAAGGAGAGAGGAGACACTGAAGATGTTATTTGCCCCTGTGGGCTGGCAGAATCTCACCTGCTGACTGAAACAGGGGTAGAAGGAAATAATGGGAAAATATGGTGTGAGGAAGATGCCAACAAAGGAAAGCTCCTAGAGGCCACTTTATCTGATGAGAAATCTGTCCTCATGTTGCACCCTGGGAGACTTCAGCCTTTCTAGTCCCTGGAGAAAGCTGGCTTGTAAGCAGCAGCCAGATGGATCAGAAAAGTCTTCCATCTGGTTTAGGCCCCAGATCTGAAGTACAAGACTTTAGAGGAGTTGGGAAAAGCAGGATGTGTATGTCTCACAATAAAAATCTGGCCCCAATGACAGGGATTCAACTATTGCTTGAGATGTACACAATAGGTCCTACTAAAGTGCTTTGCCCTTTGGGTAAGGATGGAGGGGGGCAGGTGGCTTCTCTTTGAACTGTAGGGGGAAAGTTTTGTAATGGAGTCAGTGGGCCAAGTAACAGAGGTCCCGCCCCTTGTCTCCTTGTGGGCCGGTATTTGTCGTTCCTCAGCTGAAGAATAGCATCTGACGTACTAAGGTCAGGGTACTCAAGTCTGACGTACTGAAGTGGCACAGCACTGGTGTGACTTTTCAGTGATAACTGCAAGCCCCACACCACCTTCCTCAGCAAATGGTTCTGAAGTCGGATCTCAACACTAGGAGACGGCAAAAGTCAAGACCAGTGGCCTACAGTGAGCACCTGAACTTTAGATCTGTAAGCAGAGGGGCAGGGATTTAACCTGAGCCAGAAGGGATTTGCAGGAATGGGAGTGAGAGTGGCACTGTCCCTGGGGACGGGCAACGACAGCTCGGCGCAGGCACAGGACTGACCGCAGTGCGGAAGCAGGGGCAGGGCAGACTGTGCCCACAGCTCCACAGTTGGTCTACACTTAGCCAGCAACTTTCTCCACTCCTCTCCCCAACAACTGGGCTTTACTCTCATGTCATCCACCAAAGCGTAGGCAAGCCACTGAGGCACTGCTCTAGCTTTACTCAAAGAGAAAAGGCATTCGGATTATAACTGTCACAAGGAAGGGAAAAAACCCAAACCAGGCCCAAGGATTCCAAACAGGAAAGATACCAATAACTCTCACAAAAGTCCCGAGGCTGCTAAGTTTCTATGATCACTGGAGAGGCAGCTGTGTGTGATACTTTGTGTGGCCAGGGCTTTTGAGACTGGATCTGAGAAGGCAGACCGCTTTCTGGGTTTCCTGATATAAGCAGGACGCTTAGCAATAAGGACTAGAGTGGTAGACTTCTCCGGGCCCTGGGGCCATCCTTGCTCCCTTCAGGTACTGGGACAATCAGACCAGGCTGACCTGCTATATGAAGGTTCCAGAGCTAAGGGTTGGTCCCAGGTGGTGGCCCAGAACCTAAGCAGAGAGGAAAAGGGCCAAGCCCAGGTTTCCTGAGCTAAGCAGCTTCCTCCTCTCTTTTTGGTCGTCCTCACAGTATCCTACTTACAGAAATTACAGACAGTTCTTCCTCTTGAGACCAAATAAGACTGACCTACCTAATATATAGAATATAAAAAAATACAGAACTTTTTGACATTCTCTCCTTTGGAAGTAAAATATACATGATCCAACTATGGAAGAGGAAGAGGAAGAAGGAAGGCCAAAGGCAGGGATCCCTGGCTATCCCAATACATGACACTCTCACTCCACCTCCTCTGCAACTTATGGGTCACCAGAGCAAGGACTTTCTCCTTAGGAGAGAGGAAGGACCACCGCCCCCTGTCTCGTGCTCAGGAGAAAATACAGCTACCTCAGAGGTTCATTCAACTCCGAGGGGAATTTTCAAGTAAACAAATGAAGCTGGGTCGCACCACTGGAAGGTGGGTAGGAAACATGGGATCAGTAGCGACACATGGGAAGACCCACCTGAAGGCCTGTGCTCCTCCCCTCCACGCCCACTGGTGTACGTGCCCCTGGAGGGAAGGTGACCCCCCAAACTAAAGAGGTCTGCGGAGGGGTTAGAGGGAGGAAGGAACCTTTGTCTCATGGTGACCTCCCCCTCAGCCTCTAGTCCCAGACCATGCTGGCAGCTGGGATTCCTAAAACCAGGAACTCACGGCTCTTGGAAAGAGCAATCTTAATACAAGAAAAATGTGCAAAAGAAAAAAAAAATTAAATAACTCAATCCAAGCATACAAGATTAATATTCTGTCAGAGCAAGAACACTTTGTTTTGAATTTCTCCCCTCCCCTCCCACCCCCCCACCTCTGGAATATTCCATCTGCTCAAGTACCCAAGATAAGAGTTACACAGATCAGGGCAGAGAACTGGGAAGGATGAAGGAAGATAAAAGGGAAGGAAGTCACCACTAAAGGAAAAAAAAAAAATTTAAAAAGGTGCAAAATTGATTACCTCAGTCCTCCTTTGTCTACCCCTGGGCTCCTGGGTTAAAGACATATGTGCAGCCAAAATATAGTGTAAGGAAGAAAAACCCAACACGTCCCCTTCTTGTCACAAAACCCAAATGTGAGCCTCAGATGGTTCTGTCTGTCCAGAGGGTGCTCCCTCCAGGGAAGGGGGCGGAGCAGGTCAAGAGCACAGTTTCCAGGGCAGCAGAGGTGTGTGGTGGCTGATGATGGGGGGGCTGGTTTCCCGCCCACCAGAGGGCTGCTTTTCCGCTGGTTGGTGGTGCTTCCCATCCCCTCCCCTCCCCGGAGGCAGACATTATAGCTGGAAGCCCTCCATGGGGGCCTCAGGCTGCTGGAAGATGAACTGCTGTTGTGTCTCATCCACTTGGGGAGCCAGGCTGCTATCATCATCTTCTACACCAAAGTAGTGCTCAATGAGGTCGAAGGCCTTCTGGTAGATTTCCTGGTTCTCATGGCTCTGGAGAAACTCAATTTTATCCAAGCCTACGATGGCAGTGGCAAGAAGGAAGGAGGGACAAGAGTAAAATGTAATTGCTCTTCTATGGGGCCATGAAACATTTATGTTTTTCTTTCCCTGAGGTATGTTAGTGTTTATCAACATAAGTAATAACAATCAGATCTCTCTTTGACAAGAAAGAGAGTCTTGGCTATCGCCAAGACTTTTTCCTAAAACTACACAGCCCCAAAGGAAAAAGACCAAAATGTCAGTTATAAATCAGCTTCTCGTCCTGACTCTGCTTTAAATACCTGTGTGGCCTGGGCCAATCATTAGCTTCTCTGAAGCTCTCAGAGATGAGTGATGAACACTTTTACTGGAACTTGCTAGAAACTGAACTGAAAACATACCTTCCAGTGCCTGCTTCTCTCATCAATTCTGGAGCTCTATTTTTGCATCTGCGCCATGCCTACTTACTGGGCAGAGCCTATCAAAAAGAGAAGTGGCTCTATTGCTCCTCAGAGGGAGAATGAAATGATGGGATAAAACCTTGTTCAATGATGACCCCCTAAATCCCACAGCCTTACATGTAAACTACCTTGGGGGCCCTCAGTCCCTGGAGTCCTGACCTGGAACCTCTCTACTTAAGGCAGAGGTGAGGCTGAAGACAGGACACATACCATAGGCTTCCTCAATGAGGCCACAGTACGGGTTGACCCCTGAGCCACTGCGCTTGCCCTCTTGCTCTCCAAGCCGAAGGATGTTCTCTAACCCATTGAGGGCCACCTGCACAATCTTCGAATCCATCACAGTCAGCAAGTCGCACAAGGGTTTGATGCAGCCCAGTGAGACCAGGTACCTAGGGGCAGAGACCAGGGAAGTTCTAAATTAATGCAGGGCAGAAGAGGTGCTAGGCAGGTGCTGTAGGGCCTGTGGGTCTCCTTCACATATGTCAACACTCTCGGCAACCCCCTTTTGCTGAGCCTTCATATCCACTTCTTTATCTCAGTCTCTGCACTCTTCCAATGCTCTGGGTCTAGTTCATTTCCGTGGGGAAGGCTGCCATAGATTGCTCCTCCCTGTCTCTATTGTCCCCTTGCTGTAACGTTACCACTCTGAACACATCACTTCCCTGCTTAAAATGTTCAGCCCAAGCTCTACAGGCCTGACAACAGACCCTCTCCAATCAGGTTCCTACCCTCCTTTTTAGCATCATCTCCCATCATTCCCTTCCAAGGACATTACATTCCAGTCAAACAAGTAAACATCTCCAGGTTTCTGATTCTTGTACCTTTACTTATGTTTTCCCCTGTCCAAAAGGGCTTTTACAACCCTGAATCCTTCAAAGTTTAACTCAACGGTTATCCCTTTTCTCCTAAGGCTTTAAATATGCTGAATATATTCCTACTCCTCTTTCTGGGTAACAAGCTGAGGGCAAAACACTTGTTCAGTTCCCATCACTCCTACTCACGCTGATGATGGAAACCAAAATCAAAGAGCGCGTGCACGCACACACACACACACACACACACAAAATGGCTATTTGCTTCTCCCAAGTGTCACCCCCCAAAAAGGATTTCCCCAAGAAGTTGCTATGAATGAATCACAGCATGGTTTCTCCTTCATTTGTATGGGTAATTCTCTGGAAGGTGGAAAGTAGAGGAGAGATGGATGTCTGTGTCCTAGGCTTCTATTCTCTTGGAAGAAAAGAGGTACATGCTTTACAGGAATCTATTCCAGATTCCAATGCCAATCTAGTAGCTTACCAGTTAAACCTGGTGCTGTTGGACTGGGGCAGACCTATCGCAGGAAAAGCAATTTAGTGGTTACTGTAGACCATGAACCAAGAAGGAGAGTACACATATCACTCAAGACAATGAGAAACAAATGGATACCTGATCTGCTCAGGTGTTCCTCCTGATGTAGCATTGGTGATGGCCCAGGCTGCCTCTTTCCTTGTACGGAACTCTGCTTTTTGAAGGATTTCGATCAACACAGGGAAGATATTTGCATCTATGACAGCCTGAGAGAGGAAGGGGGAGGGGGAAACACACAGAGAAAGTCACTTTAAGAAGATTAAGCCTACAAAAAGGCTTAATAAATCTAGCCTACAAAATCAGCTTAGATTCAGACATCTTCCTCTTCCTGGGAGTCCTTTGTTCTTCCCATAGACAAAGAGGATACAGAGGAACCTGGCTTCTTAAAAAGAATATTCAACAGCACATACTGACCCCAATTTCTAAAGGGGAACAAATTATTTCTTCTAGAAGCAAATATCCCACAACCTCTCATGTTTCCTTGCCTTCCCACCTGCTCCTGCCCCGCCCCCTTCCCTCCTGCTTGTTTTACCTGTATTTGAGCCCTGTTGCCAGCAGTGATATTTGAAATGGTCCAGCAAGCTTCCTTCCGGATTGACTCCTTGGGGCTGCTCAGCAAGTGGAGCAGGCAAGGGAGGGCTGAACAGTTAAGAATGACCTAGAACACCAAAAGCACAGGCAACAAAAAAAAACTAGGTAAACAGGACTTAATCAAAATTAAAAACATCTGTGAATCAAAAGATACCATCGACAGAGTGAACAGGCAAACCACAGAATGGGAGAAAATATATGCAAATCATATCTGATAAGGATTAATATCCAGAATAAAGAACTCCTGCAACTAACAACAAAAAAACTGAAGAACCCAATTTAAAAAATGCTGAAAGGGCTTAAACAGACATTTCTGCAAAGAAGAAATACAGATGGCAAATGAGCATATGAAAAGATGCCAAACATCGCTAATCATTAGGGAAATGCAAATCAAAACTGCAATAAGGGGGCACTTGGCTGGCTCAGTTGGTGTAGCATCCAACTCTTGATCTCAGGGCTGTGAGTTCAAGCCCCACGTTGGGTGTGGAGCCTACTTAAAAAGCACAGCAAAACAAAAAACCCACCAAACTTCAAAAAGATACCATTTCACTTATTAGGATGGCTATTACCAAAAACCTCAGACAATACAAGTGTTGGTAATACAAGTGTTGATGTGGAGAAATTGGAACCTAGTACATTGCTGGTGGGGACATAAAATGGTACAGCCACTGTGCAAAACAGCAGGTCGTCCCTCAGAATCTTAAACATAAAATCAGCGGATGATCCTGTAACTCCACTTCTGGGTATGTACCTAAAAGAACTGAAAGCAGGGACTCAGACACTTGTACGCCACTGTTCAATGTAGCTTTATTTGTAATAGCCAAAAGGTGAAAACAACCCAAGTATCTATCAACAAGACAAATGGATAAACAAAATGTGATATATGCATACAATGGACTACTATTCAGCCATAAAAAGGAATGAAGGCATGCCACATGCTACGTATGAATGAACCTTGAAGACATTAGGCTAAGGGTAATTAGCTGACACAAAAGGACAACTACATATAGTTCCACTTATATGAGAGACCTAGAGTACTCAACTCCTCCTAAGAGAGAAAAAGTGTTATGATGGCTACCAGGGACTGAGGCCCAGGAAAGAGGAAACAGGGAGTCATTATTTAATGGGCACAGAGAAATCAGTTTGGGATGATGAAACCCTGTGGGGATGGGTGTTGATGACAATTAAATAACAATGTGAATGGGCTGAATGTCACTGAAGTGTACACTGAATGGTAAAAGCAGTACATGTTATGTAATGAAAATTCTATTCTAAAAAAATTTAGTGTTTTTGCACTTACTCAACATGTATGCAACACACACACAATGACCTAGGAATTGAGTGTGGTTTGAGTGAGATCACTCAACTCTTAGAAATTTGTCAAGAATCCCACAGAATTATGCCAACTACTCAAGACCAAAAGAATACTCTGATCTCTAGCATTTGAACAAAGGAACCCTTTTTACTGTGCCCTCATCGGAGGTGTTATTAACATGAGAAAGCGTCTGTAGGATTCTAAGGGTGTAGGAAGTAGAGGTAAGATTCTACAGCTTTGTGTCTCAAGGGGACCATGACTCAAAAACTTAAAAATTACCCTACAATGTCCCAGGTAGTCAGTCTGCTACATTTCGTTTTCCTTCAAAAGCACCCAATGGACAATGATTTGCTTCCAACTTATAAAAGAAATTAAGGCAATCAAGTCGATCATTCAGAAAGTGGCAAAGTTGGAATTTTTCACCCAAGCCCATGCTTTGTCTCCTGGACCATGCTGCCCCCCCAAGACCCAAACCCTTGGTTAGCGCTTTTGTCCCTAAACAGCTCCCTCCTTACCTGGGTTTGGATGTCATCCCCGGTGACAATGTTACCCACTGCTCTCAGGGCAGGAGAGGCCACTTTGTAGTCATTGTGCCTACAGAGGAGGGAGACCTGATCAGCAGAGGGCCAGCAGCACTGTCATGGCTCCAGCCCTCTGCACAGAGCAGTACACTGCTTACGACAGCTCTTTAGTTGGAGCTTGGAGAACTTTAGGGAATCTTTCTAACCAGACACTCACATTAGAAGCTCTACCAATCTTCGGCAGACTCCAGAATCTATGACTGCCTGGATCTTTTCGTTGGGGCCATCGGACAGATAAGAAAGGGCCCAGCAAGCATCTGCCAGCAAGTCTGAGTCACTGCTGAAGAGTAGGCGAGACAGCACAGGTAAACAAGGGGAGACCTGTTGGAAGCAGAGTGAGAGGGACTCATGAGGGGACAGGGCTACATCAGCTCTACTGCTAACCCTAATAGTAATTCTCCTCCCCTACAAGTAATTCTAAGCCCTAGAGATTTCTGCTACATTAAACCATCAGGACTACCTTTTTCACTATGCCATCCAAAGCACACGAGATCACCTACTTCACTGACAATTGCCTCTTTCAGTTTCCCATGGACTGAGACCCTAAGGGGTCACCCAAAGACTTGAAAACTCCTATATCAAAATGCCTGCATATGAAGGAAACTGCTTTCATTCAGAAACTGGTAAGAAGCTCTCTCACCTTTGCAAACTCTGGCGGTGGGTTCTTTCCTCGGCAGAGGTTTGACAGGGCCCAGACTGCATTCCGTGTCATTGTCAGTCGTGTGGACTTGGTAAGGAGTCTGAAGGAAACAGCAAAGCCAGACAGATCCTAAGCAATGATGCCCTTGGCACAGGGCTGTCACCTATGAACCCCAGGAGCAAACCAATCAGACCCCTAAGACTCTAGCAGCCTCACTGTGTCTTTCTACCCATAGACCTAAGTTAACTGAGCTTGTTTGGGCCAGGAGGCCGACCTACATCTTCACAGAGGATAAGGACCAGCTGTGGCTTGTTAAGACCATAGCTAGTAAGGACATACAAAGGGTTGAAATTTGAGTAAGGCTGCAAGCCTTTTAAGATAGGACATACCGTGCTCCTAACTCTGGCCACAAGATCTAAACAAGGAGTACTGTTCTCTTTGCAAATAAAAGCTGAAGGTCTAGTGTGAGATAAGCAATGATTTTCTGTGAAGGGCCCAAGAAAGAGTTACAGTGGTAGTCTTTGAGACTGTGGTCTCGGAAGAAGTACGACTCCTCCATCTATTTTGATTTAGATGAAGCTCTATTTGAAGGGTATGGGAGGGAGGGATTGGCAAAGGATCCCCATGCCCCTTCCTGGGCTCTTTAATCTATGGTTTACGACATAGCTCTCCAATGTACCTATGCATAAAATAGCAAATCAATGCATTCCATAGAGAAGGTTGGGTTTTTCCAGATGCGCTAGTCTTGCCTCTCTCTCCTGGCTCAACAATGAGGCAGGTATGACCAACGTGAGAATCTATAGTGCCATGAAGTAAGGAAACAGAAGATCCTCCTTGGCACAGACACAATCTTTTTACTCTCAAAAGATACCTCTATCTTTTACTTTGGCAATCAACATACTTTTAGTATTTTTGCACTTACTCAACATCTTAAGGTAAGCTGCCCCCCAAAGATCTGCCACGTGGCTGCCTTACAGATGCCCCAGGTGCACATGATCATAATTACTCACGTTAACAAAGGATTAAGGATGGAACAGTTCAAGACGTAATCTCGGCAAACGGAGCTGTCTCCAGCTATGTTTCCAAGTGCCCAGACTGCCTGAAAAGGAGATGATGGAACCGTCACTCACAGACTCTAGTGGCTTCTGTCAATATTTTATACCAGAGTGAGTACCCACCAGTAACTTGGACAAAAACCGTATCAAGGTACCCTCCTTGCTGACCTCCTTATTGAGCATTTGCTCTATGAGGGACTTTCCTCTCAGAGTTCCTAATTTAGTAGGGGAAGACAGGCTGACATCTGTACTGCTGCCAAAGAAGCCAAACCAAGACCTCCCTATGCCCACTCCTCAGAAGAGAAAGTGATTGGAAAGTTGCATTCTTGCAGCCTCATAGGATCTAGCCAGTATGTAGTAAGGGAGGAAAAAATCTAGGCACCACTTTCTTTCTTTTTTTTTTTTTTTTTAAGATTTTATTTATTTGACAAAGAGAGACACAGTGAGAGGGAACACAAGCAGGGGGAGTGAGAGAGGGAGAAGCAGGCTTCCCGCTCGATCCCAGGACCCTGAGACCATGACCCGAGCTGAAGGTAGACGCTTAATGACTGAGCCTCCCAGGCACCCCTAGGCACCACTTTCTACTTTCTGTCCAATCAGTAAAAATCCAATGAAAGAAATGCAAGTTGTGTATTAATCTCTATGATCTGTGGGTATTGGGAAATGAGTACTGTGGTGTCTTTTTTCCAATACTACCTCTGATGCCAAATGTGTGGAGTTTTTTCTACATCAGCAATCAATTCTCCAACATCATTTGTGTGTCCAACAATCCAATTCAATTCTGACACTAACTCTTAAAAGAGTTAGCACAGACCTACAGGTTAAGGGTTCAGGCCCACAAGACTGCCCCCACTTTAGACACCAGCTACAATTGCCAGGTGCCACCATACTTCTGACCAACTGGCTATAAATTCAAAAGTTCCCATAATCTCCTCCTCAGGTTCAATAATTCACTAGAATGATTCACAGAACTCAGGGAAACATTTTGCTTATATTTATTAGCTTACTGTAATGGATATCACTCAGGAAGAGCTAAATGAAAGAGATGCATAGGGCAAGGTATGGGGTGAGCAGTCATGGTGGTACCGAACTTCCATGCCCTCTCTAGGGCACCGCATCAATGTGCTCACCAACCCAGAAGTTCTCTGGGGAGGTTGGGGTGGAGGGATGGGAAGAGTTGGGGGTTCTGATGACCACCTTCCTCATCTTGAGGCTACCTAGGGGCCCCACTCAATCATCTCATTAGGTGTGTTCCATTATAAATAACAAAAGACACTCTTAACATGCAGGAAATGCCAAGGTTTTTAGTAGTTTTAAGGAACTGGGCACAAAGATCAAATATATTTTTTATTATAACACAGGGACCACCAAGAATTAAGCCAAATGTGAGCATTACCTGTTCCTGTACATCCTCAAAGTCCGAGTTAAGCAGCTCTATAAAAATGGGGACTGCCCCTGCTTCAATGACAATCTTGGTCTGCTGAGAGGTTCCAGAGGCAATGTTCGTTAGAGCCCAGGCAGCTTCAAACTGAAAGTGAGATTAAGCCATGACTGAGAGATCATTCCAGACAGAGCAGCCGTGCCTACCAGCTGGCTGAGAGTAGTAAGCCGCTTGCCCCTGACTAAAAAACTCAAACATAAGCCTTTTCCTCTTCCCCTTTACTTATTTTTATCTTATATTTAAGTAGGCTCCACGCCCAGCATGGAGCCCAACGTGGGGCTTGAACTCACGACCCTGAGATCAAGACCTGAGCTGAGACTGAGAGCTGGAGCCTCAACTGACTGAGCCACCCGGGAACCTCCTCCTCTTCCCCTTTAAATGACAAAAAGCAGGGGCGCCTGGCTGGATCAGTCAGTGGAGCATGTAATTCTTGATCTCAGGGTTGTTGAGTTCAAGCCCCACGTTGGGTGTAGTGATTACTTACAAATAAAATCTTTATTAAAAAAAAAACTGACGGGGCGCCTGGGTGGCTCAGTTGGTTAAGCGACTGCCTTCGGCTCAGGTCATGATCCTGGAGTCCCGGGATCGAGTCCCACATCGGGCTCCCTGCTTGGCGGGGAGCCTGCTTCTCTCTCTGACCCTCTTCCCTCTCGTGCTCTCTATCTCTCATTCTCTCTGTCTCTCAAATAAATAAATAAATAAATAAAATCTTTAAAATTCTTAAAAAAAAAAAAAACTGACAAAAAGCAGTGTGGACAGTGATTGTAACACAATGGGAAGATGGACCCAGGCTTCAATGGTCCCAAGTCTAGTTCTGCAGTACCACAGCACCCAAGTCCTTTGGCAAGTCGCTTTATTTTCTGAGTTTCACGTTCTTCATTTCTGAAACCAGCATTAGAGTGACCTGCATCTCTCAGAGTCCCTTTCAGCTGAGTTTCTGGCTAGGTCTAATGGATGGACTCACTACCTATTTCTGAAGAGACACCTAGAGAGGCTAAATGATTTGCCTCAGGTCACACAGGTAATTAGAAGTGGACTAAAACCTTTGTATGTATTTTTTAAGTAAACTCTACGACCAATGTGGGACTCAAAACTCATGACCCCAAGACTAAGAGTTGCATGCTCTACTGACTGAGCCAGCCAGGCATCCCTAGAATCTTCTTTGATTTATAACTGAATAATCAAACTGTCATATTAAGGTATCTTTCTTTCTTCTTTTTTTAAAGATTTATTTATTTCAGAGAGAGAGAGAGCCAAAGCATGTGAGTGAGCACCGGGAATGGGGGAAGCGGGCAGATGGTGAGGGAGAGAAAGTCTTAAGCAGACTCCATGCTGAGCGCAGAGCCCAACCTGGGGCTCGACCTCACGACCCTGAGATCACCTGAGCTGAAGCCAAGAGTCAGATGCTTAACCGACTGCACCACTCAAATGCCCCTCTGGTATCCTGCCTTTGAGACTGTTTTAGGGAAGAAATTTTGGCTCTCTTATTTGAGACCAAGATCTCTGATGCATCTCTTAAATACTTCCTCGTATTACTTGTCTATTTCCTGAGAGATGTGTCTATAGAAGCACCCCACAACAATTTCTTAGGAAAAGGTCTTTTATCTGGTACCCTTCTACACCAGGCCTCACCTGTAATGTACAATTCTCATTCCTCTTCAGAAACTCCACAAACCGATCGACCACTCCTGGAGTGTTGATAACTTCATCTATTGGAGGACTAGGCTCTGGAAGAGGGAGAAAGGAAGGAAAGAAAAAGTCAGGAGAGGTTTTGGCTGGTGTATTCACTGGGGTCAGTCCACGCATCCTCCCTAGGTAGTCCTGACTGTCCTTATTGATATTCTCAAACTCCTTTTTGGTAACGTAGTTTTCACAATAATTGGTCATCTTTGAAATGTGTGATAGAGTTGGGATACTAAAGAGAAAACCAATCCCAAAATAAGTATATTCACCTTTGGCTTCCTGAAACTTAATTCCTGAAGTAAAGAATTAAGGAAGAGAAGAAAGCCCAAGAAACGGGGAACCCTCATTTAACTATTTCCCTTCTAAAAAGAGCATTTGTTTTCTCGGGAGGACTGCTTCATATACTGAGACAAGAAGTATTTTCCTATCATACATCAAATTTTTATTGAGTGCAAACTATGTGCCAGACACAGTTCTAGGTACTGAAGCTACAACAATGAACAAAGTCAATAAAAGTCTCTGCCCTCACAGAGCTTATATCTAATGAGGAGAGACATTCTATTATGTTAGTAAGTGTAATGAGAAATAAAGGAGAGGTAGGGCAGGGTAAGAAGATTAAAAATGCTGAGAGTGGAGGGGACCTGCAATTTCATAGAGGGCATCAGGGTAGGCTTGTTGAGAATCTAGAATATAATCAGAGAAGTGGGGAGCTGTCACACAGTTATCAGCGACCAGAGGATATCAGGCAGAGGGAAGAGCCAGTGCAAAGGTAAGAATGTGCCTGGCTTGGGGCGCCTGGGTGGCTCTGTCATTAAGCGTCTACCTTCGGCTTAGGTCATGATCCCAGGGTCCTGGGATCAAGCCCTGCATCGGGCTCCCTGCTTGGTGGGAAGCCTGCTTTCTCCCCCTCCTGCTCCCCCTGCTTGTGTTCCCTCTCTCGCTGTCAAATAAATAAATAAAATCTTTAAAAAAAAGAATGTGCCTGGCTTGTCCAAGGAATACCAAAGCAGTATGGCTAGAGCAGAATGAGTGAAGGGGAGTAGCAGGTAAGGTCAGTGAGAGGAAACAAGAGGTTAAATCATGTAGGGCCTCCGTAGGAGGACCAGGCTTTGTACCTTTGGAGAGCAGTTTCCGGAATTTCTGTGTGGTTGCTAATTGCAGGTCAGAATCATCAGAAAAGAGCATCTCCACCATCTCTCGTGTGATCACACTCTCCTAGAACGTCAGACAGATTTAAGACTTTGCAAACCATCAAAAACTAATGATGTAATGTATGCTGGTTAACATAA